AATCTTACCCTATTACTTAATCCCAACCCAAATATCATAAATACATCATTAATGTTATTACCAATATATTAGCAACTCATAAGCCTAACTAACTTTGTAATTAACACAGCAGTACACATTATTACGCCCTTGTTAACAAGACATTATCTATTATTACCCTGTCTTATAAAGTCGTTATAAAATGCTCACGGCAATCCTACAGAAAATTAACACAAACGCTCTTTCACTTCATTCCTGAATGAGGGTTGAATAATTAATGTTTGACAGATGAGATGTGTATAATTACTGACACTATCGATAGCCCAGTAAAACATCCTGCAGGCTGCCTGTAAATGCTTACAGGTCCCTTTAGATTATATGCAGTGTTCAGAGAAATGAAGTGCTACAGTAAACTAGGCCGTGTTTCTCAATCATTTGTATTGATGTGTGCTTCCTTGAATTCAGCCAGCATATGGGACTAATTGTCAACCGATACCTCAGCTCTACTCAGGCTATCTCTGGGCAGAGGTCATTGAGCCCCAAAGCCTGTTAGTCCATGCAAGGTATCATATGAAACTTCATCAATACCACACAGAGGTCTGAGGTCGCTCTGTTACCAGATACTATCGCTTTACCCTTTGATATTATTGACTCTGTGGTCTGTGTTTGCTCTTCTGGGGTTTATCGCTGCTTTAAAGGTGCTTGGTTTTAAGCATTTCATTGCCCCAGCAGAAACAAAAAGAAATATACAGATACGGTTTGACATATGTTTTTTATGTTGTGACAGGATAAAACCAAACAATTAGCATATTATTGTATATATTTTTGATCAATAACAGTGAAGTAATGGTTTAAACCACTCCAGAAGTCATCGCAAAACAATGTCTTGCGTTTTGCCTATAGACTTTGTTCTGTGTTGCCAACACATTAGTCAAAATAATCACTCAGAGAACATTAATAGCTGACAACTTTGATAAACCGCTTAACTCATTCATCAAGTTAAAAATACAAACAGTCTCTTTCATGACTTTTAGATTTAAGGTTTTGCGGGGTTTTTTGGACTGTGTGTCAGAAAATTTGAAGCCATTTGAAAACATAAGCTGTGGCAACTTGTAACAAGCATTTGACATTTTACAGACCAATGATTTAACCCATATTGCTGCTTTTCAGATTTTGTTTAATGCTAGTTTGAATGCCTTTTTATACCCATTACTCAGTTTTTATCCTTATTCTTTATATCCAGTTTTGCAGCTTTTCTAAATGTTGGATTTTATTTTGCTTTTTGTTTGCAGTCATGCAAAATAGGATGACTTGCTCTTATTGGACCACCATGTATACATGAATGAATGAATGATTATTCTGCTAATTCTGCTAAAAAACGTTAAAGGGAGGAAACATAATTTGCAGCTATAGTTGTGGAACATAATCTGACTATTGATAAGCTATGAAAAGCTACACAGACACACAGAGAGACTGCTTTTTCAGCTCTTCAGTGATCGAGAAATCTACGACAAACACGTAGGCTTTTAGAGATCCATTCTAGTTATTAAGGATTTCAATTTCATTTTCTTAGGCTTTACTATATATATATATATATATATATGAAACAAGAATGTGTGCTGGAAAAGTAGAGGCCATCTATCTAGACAGATGGATGGATGAATGGATACTCCATTTCAATAACTATATAAATATATGCACACAAAAAGACTAATACATCTATTCATACATTGTCAGGAAAATGTAGTGACAGTGTTATATTATTGTACTACTACTACTAATATATAGGCATTCATGTTTAAACAGCATTTCAATGTTGTATTTTGTCAAATATAATTTTGATTATTTTCCTGTACATAGTGACTACAATTAATCAAATTGCCTCGTGTTTTTTTTAGCTCATATATTTTGTATATAAAATCTTAATCTACAAAGTAACCTTCAAAGACTTCAGCTGTCAACTAAATGTAGTGAAGTAAAAGTAAATTTTCCTCCAAAATGTGGTGGATTAAAATTATGAAGTTGCATAAGATGGAAAAACTAAAATAAAGTACACATACCTTAGATATCAACATGTAAATCACTTACTCAGATTAATTGGCATAAGTCAAATATCTGTCCATTATCATTGCTACTGCTCACCTCTGTGAAAAAGTGACTTCATTGTTTTGTGTCAAGCTGCGGAGACCTGTTGATGTCACAGTTGTTCGGTTTGGGAGCTCATTAAATTGGCTGTCTCTTTGAGCTATGTATGTGAGTTGCACTCTGAATTTGCAGCTGTAACTTTAATCACATGGGTTTGATGTAACGTAAAGGGGCTACCAGAGGATCAGCTCAGATTGAGAAGCCTGCTGCACTCTGCTCTACCCTTTGCCTATCTCCCTTGCCTGTTATATTTTTAGAAAATCCCTTTAGCATTTTTTTTTTTTCAAATTCAACTGTTTGTGCATTTCCTGAGACCATATATACAAGAGGAAACTCAGGATTACTCATATCTGGTGAGCCATGTTTATTTGATTTGGGCTCGTAGTTGTCTTCAGGTGCGATTATGTCTCTGCAACTAGAGCTTCAAATATTCAGCCCATGTGTGCTACGCAGCGCACTTTGTTGTGATAATTGAGTTTGACTGAAACAGCATCTGTTTTGTGCACTCAAGTTAAGGAAGGCTTGCCAATGAGTAGAGGAGACCGTTGGAAAAAGGGCTATATTTACAGTATGGCTGAGTCACTATCAAACAATGAATCTAATGTATGTAGCTAACAAAGAAGAGGATGAGTGGGTAGTTTTAAAGAACTCATGTTCTCCTGGCTTAAAGTGAACCCTATAGCCAAACAGTATTTCTTTTTGACTTCCAGACGTCTGATGTCATTCAAAAGGTTATTTGTCACACACTGTCATTCCATATGACATGACTTTAGATTTAATGATGAACAGCTGACGGGACCAAATGCAGAGTGAAAGCTCATTCTGAATCTGTTTGCAGTCATTCATTTGGAATGAATGGCTAAGAAGAGGGCGTCTTTTATTTTAAAAATGATATTACATGGTAAAGGGTATCGGAAAACAGCATTACAGGATAATGCCGGCAATATTCTATGTTTTTCTTATTGTCAAGAAATCCAATGAATAGATGAAAACCAACGAAACATATCAATAGTAACCACTTGTTTCAGTCGGACATCAGGTCAAGTTTGACCCAAATAAATTTGCAGCTTGGATTCAGTGTGCAGGCTCTCTTTTTCATCTATTATTTTTTATCTCTGGTGTGCTTCAAACCCAAGAGCGTCAACATGACACTTCTGTGCTGGCCTTCTGTTGGTCTCTACAGAAAACATCATCCTAGCAAACTGAAACTGAAAGCTCTTGCTCTATAGCAGTTGATGTACTTGTGATTTCAAGAGAGATTAAGTGTTCCCTCTTGGCTGGCAGATGTGCGCATGTGTTTATGTGTATGTGTTCAGATGCACGTCGTCTGGGTTCATTTGGCTATAAGATTCAAGCCCCTGAGCCTTGCATAGAGATCGTGACTCAGCTTCAGAGGATTTTCACTCATCCCACAGGCCAAGGAGCAGCTTTGCAGACAAATCATCCTCCATCCATAAGTCTTCCTGACTGACAGCCGGGCATTTGGCTCAAGACCAAATCTGTAAACAACAACAGGGTCTGTAAGATGCACATTTTGAACATGGAGAAACCTTCTCTGCACCTGCACATCTCACATCTGTCAATTTGAGAATGCGTGTTATACCATCAAAGTTTTGTTGGTTTGTTTCACCTTCACCTGAGATGTCAAGGTCTCGTTGAATATGGTGGTGTAAAGGGTGGATTGACTGAAGGAGCAAAGCATTTGCCCGGGTTTTGAGGTGTAACCTCACATCCGAGAAGTTTTGTCAGCTCCTCAACCAGAGATGCATTGTGCCAGAAAGGATGGATGGATGCTGATTGAAAGAAAAGATGGGAAGAGTGAGAGGGATCAAAAGAAGGATCTGGGAGACTTTTGACAGATTAAGAGTGCTGTGCTTGCATAATAAGCCCAGTTCCACTAGTGGCGTGTTAAGATTGCATGCCACTGTTCTCATTCCCCCAATGAACATGAGCAACTGCAGCTCAGCCATAATTTGAGTCTTGGACAAAACAGCTTGATCCACTTTAGTCACACTTGAAATCAGGATTAGAGAAATCTCTTGGCAAGCGATCTGAAAGCAGTCAAATCAGGTCAGTCGAGATTCGGTGGGACGCCCAAAAGCAGAACGAGCTCATGCTGTCAGTTCTGCTGTGCTCTTGTCTACCAGATGGATGGCCAATTGCCACTCCAGATGTGCTCAGAATCCATCTGAACTCGAAGTAGAAAGGCATCCAGAAACAAAAAGCCTCTCGCACTCAGAGGGGTGAACTGCACGCTGATGGAGAGAGTACAGGGATAATTGTAATCAGGCTGGTGCCAGTTTTCATTACGTTCTCAGATACAGGCCTTAATGCAGCTCTGCACTCAAGGAAAGCCAAACAGCGGAGAAGCTGTTGTTGTACGACTCGCTGCTCTTATTGTGGCGGGCAGGGTGGATCAGAGGAAGATGAGACTGACAGGTTTAGATCACTGGACTCTTAATCTGTTGCTGCCTGTTGGATGTGATGTAATCTCACACTGTAGGATTAAAAAGAACACACACATACACACATAGGGAGCCATAGTGTTTTCTGTGCTATTTTCAAGGGTCACGGCATGGGTTAATAGACAGTTTAAGGTGTCTGAGAACTGGATAAGTGAGCCAGACCAGTTATTTTCCCCAGCTCTTTCTTTAAAACTCTACCACTGACAGGTAAAGATGCACTTTGAACCAACATGTTTAACTACTCAAGGATGCATTTTCTATTCTGTCAGCTGAATAAATCCAAGTATGGCAAGCAGTGAAACCCCTTTAGAACCATTCTTCAAATAGCCATATTTACATGTGACATCAACAAATGTGGTGAATTTAATGGTCTCTGAATTATGAATGTTTTCTCTTTGTTGTCTTCCTCAGATAATTGCAATGGTCCTCTGATATCCACGTTACCCCATTCATCCTTTCAGAGCTCCTCTCAGTCCACAATCAGTTATGCTGCTTACAACGCCAAGCTCAACAGAAGAGATGGTGAGTACAAAAGAGGATATTCTTGCATGGATTCAATATTTATACATGCTTCAGATATGCACACTCCCCCCCCCCTGCTCTATCATTACCAGTGGAGCTAAACTGTAGAAGTTGCAGACCATAAAATGCTCATATGAAGCGTTTTTGTAATTGGTCGTATAGGTTGTTTTTGAAGGCAATAACAAATGGGCTATGAAGTAAAAGGACTTGCTGCATTTACCACATGTTGCAATTCAAAGAGATGCTGTTTCATTATTTCAAAGAGATGAAAAAGAGATGTATACTGGTAGAATAAAATAACATAAGTTAATTCAAACTAAATTCATAGAAGAACACAATACAAATACAGTGACTGGCAAAGAAAGTTACTAAATCTTTGTATTAAAATGACAAAAATTCACTACATTATAGCAGGGCCATAAGCAGATCCGGGTCTGTTGTCACATGGGCACTGGCCCGTCTTGGACCCACCCCAGAGCAGCCCAAGAAGTCAACTGGCCATAAGCAAGTCAAACAGCTACAGTGAATATAGAACATGATGGCTAATAAAAGGCAGATGTAAACAAAAAAGATATGTACTGTGGCTATTTAAAATATCAAATCAGTAATAAGGAAAAGGTTTGATTAATTTGATTTTGATTCTTGTGACACAGAAAACTGGCTTGTCATCATCTCTTGCTGAATTAAAATTTAATCTGCAGTAGAGTAAGTAGCATTCAACAACTACAACTCCCATGAGCTTTGGACATACTTCCAAGATGCCATCTAAACCTAATTAGAGCTACAGGTGGTGAATATGAAGATAATCATTTATAGATTGTAGAAGGGGTATGGAAATATTTCTAGCAGGTGCATTAGTGAATGGCTTATAATATTAACAGGCAAACATTTCCCCTTTCAGTCTCCGCAATGACAAATGACACACATTATTGTTGAATACTTTGTGGAGCAGAGGCTTTCAGGAGCTATCAGGATTCTGCTCTCTATAAGATTTCAAGCTAGACTGTACACATTTCATAAAGAATCAGCTGTTTTCCAAGAGAGGACCTCCACTGGTGCGGCTGGAGTGTAACTTCACCTTGAAGCCTTTCATATGCAAACACTCCCCGTGTCCAAATCAGGACTGTTTTTACATTTTTGCAATCTGAGCCCAGTGGCCACTGAACCACAACAATCCAACAATGTTCATCGACAATATCGATGTTTAATGTAATGCATTTCTCTGCCCTCCTTCAGGAGCAGGAGGCTGGTCTCCCATGGTGACTGACCAAGAACCCTGGCTCCAGGTGGACCTCAGGGAGCAGATGGAGGTGACGGCTGTGGCTACGCAGGGACGTTATGACAGCTGGGACTGGGTCAGCAGTTACCTGCTGCTCTACAGTGACACGGGCCGGGCCTGGAAGCAGTACAGACAAGAGGACAGTGTGGGGGTGAGACTTCACACAGATGTTTCACTTTGATGTTTCAGCTTTCTGTGTGACTTACATTGCTGATTTGTTGTTTACTGTTTACTGAATCTAAGAAGAATCAAGTTTTTTTTTCTGCTTGTGAAATAAATTAAACTATTTGGGGCTTATGGAAATGTTCAGATCTAGTTAATGTTCAGATCTATTTAAGGCTTATTCGTGGCTATTTGTGATTAAAGGAATAGGTTAACATTTTGGGAAATGTTTCTTTTTAGATTTAGAAGAATTAATTATCATAGCTTAGCAAAAATACAGGAAGCGAGGTGGTTCTGTTAGCTAAAGTTCACTAATTAACTTTTTTGTTCAATGCATACACACACCAAATTGTGAAAATGACAATTCAATTTCTTGGCTCAAGCTACACAAGCCATTTCCTCCTCCATCTAGTGCCTAATCAACTCCCGGGTCTGGGCACCACATTTAATGCACAGACATAAGAGTGGTAGCTTATTGATCTTCTTGTCTAACTCTCTGCAAGATGTTGAAGTTTTCATTTAGAAATGTAGACAAAAACAAGGAAAGCAAATAATATAAGTAGGCTGTGACATTGGTGTATTCCTACATATGCAACATTTTTGCAGGATTTTTATGGTCAGATCATAAACACTGACAGAAGCCTTCTGTCACATGGGATATCATCTCTTATCTGTTCTCCGTGGTGCCAATCTATTGATGACATTGCAGGTCCGGGTCAGATAGCACATTTTCTCACTTTTTCTGACACATTTCAAGGTGTGGGAAGTGTCTGGTGTCAATGCAATTATTATAGTGCTTTTGTAATGTCACAACTTGTTATGCCAGCCTGTACAAGGACTTAGGGTCTAAGAAAATAGCCTAATGTTGGCACATGTCATTAAGTCTTTATTGCGTTTGCCCCAGTTATGTCAAGGGCTGCTGACAAGATGTTAAATAGTATTTCTGTGAGTTTTTCTGCTTGGCAGTCCAATTAGCAGAGTGTGTAGTTGCCCACTGGCATGTCACTGCTGCAAAGTGGGTCTCTTTACATTGTGTTGAAATGTGTTGCGTGTTGTTTTTAATTATTCATCTTCCTCCATCTTTTTAAAAATGCATTATCTACTGGAATGTAGGAATTAGAGATGAAATAAAACATCACAAGGTTTAATAAGACAGTTCTAGGTTCTATGAGACAGGTCAACTGTCTTTTGAAGCCAAGTCAGAACCCCCCTCCACAAGCCCTGCAAAGATTTTGCAGAAACTATTCACTAATACATTACTACCACTAACACATTAAATGTCTATCAATCCAAGGCTGACAACCAACAAACCCAACATACTAACACACTATTTACTTCTGTTTGAGTAACGTTTACAAAGCCATTTCTAACATGTCAGCATACAAGGAATTTAGGATAGATTTTTGATGTCTTACTTCCAAAAACAACTATTTAACATATTACATATCTTGCAATGTGCAAATGTGAGCAATCAAATTCACAATAAATTGCTTAAACAATGAAATGAAAATGAATAACTCAAACAATATTTCAATTTTTATTATAGAGGGTTGTCTATATATCATATAACAACAAATAGTACTTAAACACTTAAATTATGAGCAGAGGTTTTCATATGTGTAAGCCTCTGATGGGAGTAGTTTAGCAGCAGAACAGTCTGGTGATGACTCAGACTAGATACTGAATGGTGAAGATTTCATGTACCATCTGGCACAACCGTCTTCTGTCTTTTTTATATATTTAACCAGAGGTTTATTTGTTTATGTAAACAGGAACACAGTAACATAGCTCAATATTGAATTAGTGCCAAAAAAAGAAACATACGTGTACAGTCCCCCACAAATAATCTGAAATATTTAAAAACATTTTATTTATGTGTGATTGACCGGTTGAAATATCACGATAAACAGCTCACAGCTTCTTCTACTCACTGTCAGTCCTCATATCATTATGTCTGAGAAGGGAAAGCTGTTGTGCAGCGAGAAGACGAGACATTATGTATAGATATTACCAATATGACCTGCAGCTATCGCCCTTTGTAAGTAACTAATGAGAGAGAGAAAAGAGTGCTGTACTTATTTCAAATTTTTAAATCATGGCATTCAGTGCCGTATCATACGAGTCAAAACAGGAATCATACTCTGAAACTTGGCAAGCATTAAAGCTATGTGTGACTGGTCTTTAAATTTACTGATGTGTATTAAATGCACACTCACACAGACAATTTAACCATCCCCCCTGTTTTTGGTGTTTGTCTGAACTTGGATCTAAAAATATTGCAGGATGAATGGCAGCCAATTAGTCCGCAATCTTTAATGGAACTCACACCCTAGCTGACTAACTACAGCTTTCACCAAGACCTTACTGATACTAACTCACATCCGTCTGGCATTTTAACAAGTGAAACTCAAAGGTAACGGCTGACTGCCAGGAACTGAACTGAGGGGCACTAATGAGAGAGCAGCAGCTGCTGATATGAATGCTAGCTCTCAGCCACTCAGAGCTAATGCCGAGCCAAATTAGCTCCATAGAAAAATTACCTCTGTAAAAAACAGGGCTAAATGTCGACAATCCTGCTGGCATTTCCATCTCCTGTAATGTTTGAAAATGAAATGGTATGGAACAAACAATTACCGATAATTGTGATATTCCCTCCAGTAGTCTGTTAAAATATATGGTGATATATAACATAATATAATATGTATATAATGTTTATTTGATGTTTGTCCTGAGAGTGGCACAAGACAAAGTCAAAAAATCATTTATCCTCTTGAGATTAAATGACATTCTTAATAGATAATTAGATATTTTGAGTGCAAAGCACAGTTTTTGAGATTAGTTTGGGGAAAAGTAAAAAAAAAAAACACTGAAATCAATGGCTTCCATCCTCAGATAAACATTTTATGTACACCATCTATGAACACATCTTTCCCCTGGATCAAAGCGTTGGAAGCCCTGACCCACAGAGATCTTCATCATTAAGCTCCACCACTTGCTATAAAGACACTTAAAAACAAGTAAAAACACTGACAATGGAAATGAAATCGCATATAGTCTTGAAAACAAGAATGCATAATTTCTTCTTCTTGTGCAAACATTGCGATTCCATAGTTTCTTCCTTTGTTCAACTTTGTGTCTTTTTAATGATTCACCTGCCTGTTTTTTCCCTGACCTCAGTAACAGAGCTGACATCATTGTGTGTTCCTGCAAACAGTCGCCTGTCTGTGGGAGTGTTCTGAGCAAAGCCTGTTGTTACACAGTAGAACCATGTGAATCAACAGGATCGCACTACTTTACAAGCTGATAATAGCCTAATTAGTGCAAGCCAGGGGAGAAAATCTGTGAAAATCTGTGGAAACGATGTGACGATGTAGAGATGAAATGGGGACTTTTATCACCTTGTGATGATGTGAAACTGATAAAACTACTGACTTAGAAAAACATACTCTTGAATGTTTGCGCCTGATGGTACCTTTAAAGGTAAACTCTTTAAAAAGGCCCCGGTTTAAAATCCTGCTTTAACCTAATTCCCTGTATAATATTAGCATTCTACCCAATGGTGAATTTACTGGATGCTCTTTGCAAATATTCATAGGTGGGGAAGGGGAATGTATTCTAGCAAGGGGTTCCAGATTACCTTCATTATCCTTGAAAAGCCTTATTTAAAAATCTATTTTTAATGCAGCTGTGAATAAATGTGTGAAACAAATTCTTCTCCTTTAGGGGAAAATTTAAGCATTAATGTGCATGCTTGTTAGCTGTTCAGGTAGATGGGGATCTAATAAGGATTCAAATGTGTTGGATGCTAATTTGTCTTTTATCTGAGTAATTTTCTGCTCCCAATTTAATGTCTTTTAATAACGTAACAACAACACCTCAGATTGGACTTTGATGATTACGCCTATAATTGTGTACAGCCAGATCTCACAGGAAATTCAAACATTAGTATGTTCAGAACACATGTTCTTAAGAGTGCTTTTTCACCAACACAGAGGGGTTTTTGTGGGTGTCAATGTCAGTCTGTTGGTCAGTTGGTTTACCACCAATACCTCAACAACTGTATAATGGATTGCCATGCAGTTTTGTACAGATATTCAAGGTCCCCTGAGGTTAGAAAATATCAAAACCTATAACTTTTTCCAAATATCTGACCAAATATCTGCAAAACTACTTTCACCGGCACTAGTTGGTCAGCACATAGTTTGAGGACCCGCCCACTTACACCATCTGGTCCTGCTGCTTTGTTGGTGTTCACATTCTTGAAAGCCCTTCTGATGTCATGCTGGCAAAGGGTGATAGGTGTGAAAGGTGCACTCACCCATCCATTAACCTCTGCTTCAGCTCTTTTTGCTTGTTGGCTGCTGATGCTCTCAAAGCAAGCATAAAAGTTGTTTAGCTTACTTTTTTTTTTACCTTGCCACATGCTTCTGGGACCTCTCCTGGAATTGTCGTTCCGCTTTTTTCCCGTTGTCACTTTTTGCCTCAGTCATTGTTGGCTGCTGCTTTATAACTGTCCATGTATTCAGACTTTAGCCAAAAGTTGCAGGCTGCAGTGTGTGTTTGTGTCACCTCGGATGGTTCTGGTAATTCATGGTTTCTGGTTGTGACTACTAACTGTAGTTACAGTCAGCCTCTGTTCTTACCTGTAGTGGAAATGCAGAATGGGCTGAAAACTGAACCAACTACATAACTCTGAAACAACCACCTTTATATTGGGATATTAATGAGTGAGGCAAATGATGAGGCTGATCAATCAAGGCAAACTATTGGGCATTACTCCCTGCTAGTAGATTGAGCCCACTGGTGTTTATGTCATGCACTGCCACAGACCAGCTCCAGAATCAGCACCATGGACAGCTCATGACAGTTGCCATGCTGATGTTAGCATTTAGCTCAAAGCATCACTGTGCCTAAGAGCAGCCTCACAGGCCTGCTAGCGTGGCTGTAGACTATTGTTTTGTTTTACATGAAAGAGAAACCTCGACAATACCTGAATCTCACCACCCAAAATTTTACTCAATAGTTGTAGTAGACATTTTCATTGACAACAGAACAAAACAGAAATAACTAAGACCCTCTGCTACTAGCTAAGATATTGAAAAATATCTATGGTCTTTTTGATCCTGGTCTGGGGACTTATGGCTCACTGGCAATCAGGGATTGCTGTAGTATTTTCACTCATGGCAAGGTCATGTACTCGTAGCTTTCTCTTTGCTATGTGTTCCCTTGGGCTGTTCAACTGGCCAATGACCTTTTGGAACATACTGTAGCGTCTTCATTGCCAGCAGCAGGATTTATCCCCCAGTGAATTGATTAAAATAAACTTATCTGCCTGTGCTGCATGCAGCACAAAGGAAAACTGACACAAGGGAGCTCATCACTGGAGAGGAAGAGTAAAGAGTCTTAATGAATGGGGAGGGAAACTGTTCCACAGTGACAGAAGCATAAATAGAAATAATGATGTCACTGTTGGGTGAGGACTGTTTATGTGGATAAGGACGGTCCTCTGGACCACTGGACCTCTGGACCTCTGGAAAATCCCCTGCACCCTCAGGTCTTTATATTGAGACTTTACTTCATCTCCCAGCTGGAACACACAGGATGTTCTGTTGCGAGTTTTTCCAAAGAGGAAAAAAAAACAAACGTCATAGCTCAGGACAGCCTCAGTTGTGTTCTTGTAGTGGTATTGCTCTTGAATACTAATGACTCATGCTGGTGTGAGATTTTCATAGCTAATGAACAGTTAGAATGACGGCACTGCAGCCTCAATCAGAGTTCATTTGGTTCATTAGATTTTCCAGACATTCAGTTGGGAATCAAGCGGAAAAATTGGATTAATAAACAGAGCAAAAAAGGAGAGGCAGTTTCACAAGCTAGGTACTAAACATATACCATACACACAGCATATACATTGATTTTGATTCTTAGGCTCTCTCAATTGTGGTTATTGCACCAGAATTTTGTATTTCTGTTCTGGTCATTGCTTTTCACACTGGTTTGGAATAGGCTCAAAGGTGATGTCATGTATTTCAGTGAACCAATCAGTTTGGAACATTTGAATCAGAGTCTATTACACTATTTTGCTTGTTTGCTTGCCAGTGCTTAAGTCTCTGACTGTTTTTGACTAATAAATAATTACTAAAGAGGGTTTTGTAATTGTGAAGAGAGTTTTTTTTCTACAATTTAATGATTTAATGATTGATACTTATCTAGTCATGAATATATTACATGAATGTTATAAAAAAATACTAGGATAGAAACTAGGGTAGGTATTTCAGAAGCATTTGTTATTATATTTGTTGAAATTCATCCTGACAGCAATCAATAAATCAAACGCTCTGATATTTTTTTCCCAGTATCTGTGGCTGTCACAGGACTGTAATAAGCCTAACTGCCTGTCTACTAACCTTCCTGCCCTGTCCACACTCTGCCTGTGTGCATGAAAATGTGTTTTGGGGGAGTGGCTTTGGAGGAAGGCCTGATGGGAGGGGGGCGGATGTTTGTGGTTGGATACTTGCAATATCTAATTGTCTCTCGCTAGTTTCTCCAACGTTACCAATCCTAGGTTTAAGATTTTACATCACATCTTCAGGGGTTTTAAATTACAGCTGTTTTATGCCGCGCAATCAAAAAGTCTTCTATTACACAAAGCCTGAAAATAACAAGGTCACGGCTAGAGTACTGTCTGACAAGCACAGCAGCATGTTTTCATCAGCCTGATTCACAATAAAACACTAATGACTACATTTGATTTTTTTCGCTGAAAGCATTTAGAAAACCATGTCATGAATATGTAGGTTTTGGGGTTTTTTTCAAAGCCAATGTGCTTTTCTTATTTCGTTTGGTCTAAAAGCTGTTTGCAGCTCTGAAGTAATACATTTGTTTTGACCAAATGCGTAAGCCCCGGTGCCATTTGTTAATCCCTCCTGTGCAGACGTGAATTACTGTGCATGTGTAAATAAGCCTGGCTTGTACGTGTGTTAAGATTCAGCCACAAGGCTCCACTCAGCAAATGGCTCATGGGAAAGCTGTAGCATAAATCACCATAACAGCCTTAACAGTCACACTGTTGCCTTGATTATCTACCAAGAAGCAGCATCTTGGTGCACTTAATGATGCTTCTGTTTTGCAGCATTCTAAAAACATCGGAGTGTCATTTATGCTGCTGGTCACTGTGTTTCTGTTGTTGCAGAAAGCTGAATTATTGGCCTTGTCCGACTGTGTTGAACTATTCACAAAAGCCTGGAGCTCCACTGTCAATGATCTATATGTTTGGTTCTTTATAGTACGAGTACTTATTGATTTGATATGTCACCTGCCTAGAATCGGTTATGAAGAAGGTGGTAATCAGTCATTTGAGAGGAGAGGTTGTTTGTCTCCCGTTTCTGTCTCCATCTCTCACTCTTTCTCTGTTTCTCTGTTTATGTCCCCTGGCTTTAGAGGAGGAAGAAGAAGAATGACATCTCACAATTGTACTCAGAGGTTTTTCTTTTTAGCTCTGCTTTAGCTCTGGGAGAAAACACAATACACAAGCCCTTACTTTGCCCCTGGCTTCCTCAGTGGTGATTTTTCCTTCGTCTCACATGGACCTGTTTGAACGGATATTCTCATATTTCTACACCACACGATGATTCTCATCAGTTTACATCAAATAGTATGTTCAAGGATAAGAGGAAGACATTGCCCTTGGGTTCGCCTTGTCAGCACTTTGCTGTTGTCTGTTGTCTATTCAAGGATTTAGATTTTTATTCTGCTTATATTTCAAGTGTTCAGCTAAAACACAGACTTTTCTTCTCCCTGGTGAAAATATTACTGTTCATTTCAGATCGGAGGTAATTTCTCATTGGAGCCTTGGTCACTTGTTTTATGCTGCCATCATAACCACAATCTTTCTCCCTCTGTGGTCTTGCAGAGATTTGTCGGGAACGTGAATTCGGAGGCTGTTGTCCAGAACAAACTGTCCCACCCAGTGAGAACGCGTTTCCTGCGTTTCGTCCCTCTCGATTGGAACCCCAGTGGCTGGATGGGCCTCAGAGTGGAGGTGTATGGCTGTTCCTACAGTGAGTAATACACACCCTGCAGTTAATACCACACACTAAAAGCACTCAGTCGACACATCAAACCTCTGTAGTTACAGCACCTAGAAGGAATTTCTTCATTTATACATCCGGCTTTGCAGCTACATTCTTGATGGAGAGTAATGAGGCCTATTTTCTCTTCACTTGGATTTAATACGCTGTTTGATACTCCAGACAGCAGTAAAACGATGAATCAAAATCCAGACAGCCATGGTGTGAAACATATATTATGCACAGTGATCACCTCCTGTTCCAGAAATAAAAAGGTATGACTGCTACTGTGGCTCTGGGTTCCAGTTGTTTGCAAAATGCTAGTACAATTAACTCCAGTATCATATTTTCACACTGAAAGCGGATATTATTTCAAACATGCGTGTAGCTTTGTAGACTGTATGTGTTATACAGCAAACTCTAAAATACTCAATATCATTACATAGCCTGATTATCTATTTTTATCTGCATATTTATTTTCAAAATAAACCAAGTTCATTGTAAAAAAAACCCAGATAAATAAATAAGATGTTGATCATTGTTTTCTGGTTGCCACAACTGAAAATACGTTTTTATCTCAGGATATGATAGCATAGATTGCTGTTATTCTTAGAAATCTATCTCGTCATGTGGGTTTTATCACTGAGTCATTGCAATCTGCCATGACAGAAAAAAAAAGTATCCCACATAAAGGACACATTAAAAATGACTAAGGAAAACCTAAGTGGGCTTATTCCATGTGCAGCACACACTGGCTAGCTTCAAGTAGAGAAGAACACACCAGATGTGCTAATCCTGGGGGCAAATGTGAAAATTGTTGCTTTTCTGGAGCATCAGCCTATGAGGAGGACGCATGCCAAGACTCCGCTGGTGTGTGGGCTTACATAGTAAACAATGACTACAGGTGTCAGTGTGTATTGCCTTTAATGCTTGGCTTTATGCCACCACGAAATTGCATAATTGAATTAGTATTTGGGAATAACAGTCTTCAAAGATTTAATCATACATTAAAATAATTCCATACTTGTAACTGTAATAATATACAAAAACCAACAGGACTGTACGGTAGATGATTAAAAGAAATTCTGTTTAGACTCAGAGTAGCATTTATATCCTGGGCAATCCTCAATAAAATATCTATAATGGGGTTTCACTGACACACCTCTCCCACATATTGTGAAGCAGCACTAACTAGATGAGCCAGTGAATTAATGCACTGTGAAACACAGTCAGAATATCCCACAGTGATCGGTTTTATGATGCCCAACCACCACACAGTAGTGAAGTGTATTACTGTTGAATAGAAGGTATAAAACTAACACTACCTCATATACTACTTGTTCTTTTCTTTTTGGTCTGCATATGTATATAAACTACGGGAATTGCCATGTTAATCACAATATAGCTGATGAACGGCTTTAATTACTGAAACTGCTAATCTGGCAAGAAAGACTGAGAAAGAGATACGTGCAGACAAGTTACATTGTTATGCAGCTCGTTCTGCTGCATTACAGACTACAGTAATCTATGCAGAACTCTCTCTCTGAAGCAGGATTATATAGAGGTGACACTGAGAATGCCCCCATACTATTAACGGATCGCAGATATATTCTTCAAGACTCCCTGAAATCAATTGTATATGAATGAGGAGATTGAAACAGGGAGAGTGTAATAGAGATTGAAATTCTCTCCCAATTTGAACGCTGTACTGTATAACAGCCGGGCTCCCAGCACTGCTGCAGTGTGACAACGCAAAGCTAGACCACTTTAAAACAGGGACCAAAAGAACTGCACATCTGCTGAACCTGCGCAGTTATTTGGGTTTGAGTCCACTGTGGAAAAACTGTGCCAACTGTTACTGCTACCTAATTACATTTTTAATTGTCAGATTTTTTTTATATTGGTAATACTGAATGGATTATTGTGCTGTGTTTAATTGATTGTGGATACATAATATGTGCTATGCCTTGAATTAAACGCCTGGTCACTAGGGGTGGGCATATCGATCCCCAAAGTATTGTTAATAAATCTTGTATGAGTGTAGAGTCTAGCATCACTAGAATCGATGTCCAAAACATTGATCCATCTCATGTTAGATTAACATGAAACATGAACGGTCACACATGTTATTTACTATTAGACATTGTCTTGTGTCTTACTATGCATGAGATTCATTAATTGACAGTTGATAGTTAAATGAAATGACTACGCTTGGCAAATTATTTGGAAGTAATTAAGATGGAAGTAATTAAGATGCTTCCTAAAGTATTAATAATGAATCATAAATTCTGATTATGAACCCCCCTCCCCCTTAATAATATAAGGTATCAAATATTGGTATGGGTAATATTGGTATCAGATTCATCCCACAGAGATTAATTTTATCAGCAAAATCAACCACTCCGACCCTCCTAGCAACCATAAAGTGTTATATTAGTTGTAACAGTAGTAATATACAATCTTACAATCCAGTATTTCTGTATTTGAATTTAAAATGAAGCCAAATTTAAACCGGTAACATGCATTACATCATCAATAAATTAAACATCATCAAAAAACATGTTCAATGCAGTTTGATGAAAGTATATATATTTTTAGTTTTTTCTACAGTTGTGAATTTTACTGACATTAATTTTTTTCAGTCAAGCCTTCCTTTAATGTTTTTGACTAAATTGTGAGAGCAATCTTCCAATATATGACACTATAGAAAATGCATTTAATGCCACTTGTACAAGAATGTGGAAGTTTTTGGAAGTACAAAGTACCTTACTGATGTAAGAGTTATTTTGATTTTCTTTTAGAGTCATATGTGGCAGACTTTGATGGCAGAAGCTCATTACTGTATCGATTCAACCAAAAGTCCATGTCAACGGTGAAGGACGTGATCTCTCTGCGTTTCAAGAGCCATCAGGCCGAGGGTGTTTTGCTGCATGGAGAGGGGCAAAGAGGAGATTACATCACCCTGGAGCTTCACAGGGGAAGACTGGACCTCTACCTCAACTTAGGTGAACCACGCTTTCTCTCTTTTCGAAAATCAATTTTTTATTTCCACAAGAATTTAGTCTCACAGTAAAGGTTAGTTTGAGAAATATTGGTAGATTGAGGAGCTATGAAGCCTTTAAAAAACGTGTATTTTGGAGGATGTTGTCATGATTGAGACTTTTCACACCAACGTGGTCGTTGTCATTTTTACATCCTACCTCATTTCTACCCAGTAATGACAATCTTTTTTCACAACATACCAAAGATGTCTTGAATGTCTTCAAATTGATACATTTGTCAGACAGGAAAAAAAAACAAAGGATATAGAGGTATAAGGATATTCAAGTCAGATTACAATATGAAAGGGAGATAATAAGAAACTGGTCATATTTGAAAAGTTTAACCGAGCAAATATTTGCAGTTGAGCTCAGCCTGGGTTCCCTCACACATTTACAGGTTCACTGATGTAAAGCTCCTCACTGTGATCTCGCTGTTTTCTTTGTGTTGCTCCAGACGACAGCAGGCTGAGGTTCACCAGCGGTCGTGTTGCTGTCACTGTGGGCAGTCTGCTGGATGACCAGCACTGGCACTCTGTTCATATAGAGCGCTTCAACAAGCAGGTTAACCTCACAGTGGACTCCCACACACAGCACTTCCAAACAAAAGGAGAAGGACACTCACTGGAGGTGGACTACGAGGTGAGTCCATGGGATGATTAAATTACATAAATTGTAGGTGAGATGGCTAGAACAGCTTTGTAAATGTGAGTTCATCACTTAGTGAATTTATCCAGTGAAGGCCAGACAACCCTATCATTAATAACACCGTATGGAGCAGTGGAGTTAGTAATGGCCATTGGAGCACTATGGTAAACAGAGAGTAGTGCAAGTAAGCCCCGGGGGAAGGGGCATGTTTTGAAATGATGTCTCCATTAATGAATGATAGAAACGAAAGAAATAGGAAAAATAGCAGACGCAAGGTATTTTTGTTGTCTCAAGGGAATAACAGCCTGCCACGAGGATTGCCAACCTCTTAAGACTTTTGAACAGCATTTAACATTGTTTGACTCTACACGGTATGCTGTGGAAACTTGGCCTTTTTGCTTGAAGCCAAGAAAAACTGAAATTATTGGCAATTTGCATTATTGTTTTTTATTCCAGTTTCAATATTCTCAATTAACATATTGAAACATACATATTCTAACAAAAAACAAGATTATGAGATATGCTCTCTTACAGTAATTTAGAGATCATTTAATTGATTGTTCACTAAACCCCTCTCCCAGACAGCAATTTTCCAGTTCTAGTTTAGCAACCGTAACTAGGCATGGCAGGCCTGTCAGGCTCTGGATTTCTCCACAGAAGTGGTGTGAACGGGCCTCTAAGAGCAATATTCCATTTATTATAAATGGTGAATAGCTCTTAGAGCCAATTGCACACCAGGTATGAAGGTACCAGGTAAGAAGAGAGCCATCCTTTAAACTTTTTTATTAAAGAGTTTAAAGGACGCCTTTTTTCAGTGTTTCCAAAACCAAAAAATTCAAGAGGATCGCTTTAGTTCCAGCCTTTATAGCTCTATCATTATATCATTTACTCATTTGGCAGCCACCAAGTATATAGTTAACACTCTTTTACAGGATTCTACCTTTAAAATGAATCAGCCTGAGAGAGTGCTTTCAGCCAACTCAGGGAGCTAAGGTTAATTAGCTAGCTAGCCAGAGCTGATAAAATATTCTAGCTAAGGGTCAATTCCTAAAAATATCACCTTCAAAGATGCAATTTGAATTTGCACAATTAGAGCCGATGCTTAAATACAACATACATACTTACTCCTGGCTTGAGCAAACATATGTGGACACCCGAATATTACACCAACATGTGAAAATAATGTTATTCCAAACAGGGATTAATCTGCCTCCGCTCTTCTGGGAAAGCTTTCAAAAAGATTTTGGCTGCAGGGATTTGCTCCCATTCAGCCACATAAGCATTAGTGAGGTCCAACGCTGATGTTGGGTGATAAGGTCTGGCTCACAGGCAGAGTTCCAGTTCATCCCAAAGGTGTTTGATAGGGTTGAGGCCAAGGCTCTGTGCAGCCCAGCCAAGTTCTTTCATGCAAAAAAAAGGACCACTCTTTGTCCACGGGGGCACTGTCATGTTAAGAAAAAGGAAAGGGTCTTTCCCAAACTGCTGTAGCATTAATATTTTCCTTTGTTTGAACTAAAGGACATTCACCAAACCATGAAAAACAGCCCCAGACCGGAGGTACACACACTGTATCCATGTAGTCGCTCTACAGTGTATGTTTGACTCCATTGAGTGGGTGTTGTTTTCTCACTTGCTGAATCATTGGCTCAGCTGTTCGTGCAATTGCTGGTGTATGTGTGTGTGTGCATGTATTTTGGGACTATATGTGTATACAATGGTGATAGATTATCACAAATTCATAAAACACAGAACATATATTTATTTCTGAAAATGAATAAACATTTCTGAACTTTTTCCCTTTATCAAAGCTGAGTTTTGGAGGCATCCCACTGCCTGGTAAACCTGGCACCTTTTTGAGGAAGAACTTCCACGGCTGCATGGAAAACCTCTACTACAACGGAATCAATATCATAGACTTGGCAAAGAGACGAAAGCCACAGATACACAGCGTGGTGAGTTGCATAGAGTTTCAGAGATACGATTTTTAGCCAGTCAGCTGCTTTTCCACCAGCATTAAATGCACATGTACTGTATCTGGCTATCAAGATTCGTCCTGAAGAGCTTGAGTTGGATAAAAAGGGGTGAACACAGAAATCAATGTTTGAGCTTTTGAAAAACTGATAACAATATAGAATTGTTTTTACATAAGCACATTTACATAAGCCCACAAGATATCTTAAATTTGATTATTAAACACCAAGAAATATACTGAGCTAGACATTTGACAGTTGAAAATGAAAAATAAACTTGTCAGTGCTGTCTGGTGGAAGCTATGTAATAATGAAACTGTTTCTAAATGACCTCAAACATACAGTATCTTTTACATGTTTCTTTTATCTTAACAGCGACATATATCTGTGATGATCTGCCATTATGTCAACCTATTGGTTGGCTCTATTACTGACAGAGACCGGGTCAGGAAAAATCTTCCACTCTCCCTGTAGATCCAGGCATGAGTCTTTTCAAATGACTTCTTGGAGCTCGGAATAGTACTGTGCTTCTCTTCCAAGAACAGATTTATTGCATTTAAAAGCTCAGTGATGTGAGAAAGCACTTTTGCCATTTGAAAGCCATCTTACAGAGCAGAGCATCTCTATTAAGGATAGAAATAGATTCAATGATATTTAAAGAGGGAGAAAAGGAAACAGAAGGCGCACATGTGTGGGCAAGCAAGAGAAAGTGGGCGAGTGAGCATACTGAGAGGAGAAAAGTAAAACGTTAACTTAGCTTGATTTGGAAATCATTCATTGCATACTGGAGCCTCTGCTAAGAGTGACAACCAGAGATGAACCTATGACATGTGAATAATAATATAGCCTGTGTGGATTGAATGGACATGTTTTTGTTCCATTAGCTGTGACTTAACTGTAAATGGCTTATAGATTATTGCAGTGCCGCTTCCAGGTTCAATTGTGTTCTCCTGTATGGATTTTACAGTAAAGCGTGTTCAAAGTGTTTTGGTTGAACCAAAATTTAATTTTGTTATGAACACTTGCCAAAACAAAAAAAAAAACAAAGACTCATGCAGAAACATGCAGTTAATTTTCCTTTACTACCCACAGCAAAAAAAATAATACTAACAACAATACCATGCTAGTGGCTCAGTGAAACTTTCCTTAGGCCTACTTAGTGCAGCGCTGCTTTGAGCTCATTGCTAACATCAGCATGCTAAAATGGTCACAGTGATAATGATAACATGCTGATGGTTACTAGGTAAAAAATTAGCATTATGTCATTAATTTTGCAGGTGTTTTGTCCTGGACAAATACAAATGTCAACCTCATGATGGCGCTAGAGGAAAAGTCAAAGGATCACCAAAGTCATTATGATTTTTCATCAGGGGCCCCTGTATGTCTGTACCAAATGTCCTGGCAACCCATCCCCTAGATGTTTAGATATTTCTGTCTGGACTAAAATGGGGGGCCGACCGACCAACAGACCAGCATTGCCATCCCCCAGAGCCATGTGGAGCTAAAATTTTGTGTAATTTCTCATTGCTGTGAGTTTTCACGTTTTTCTCCTTCTGCTGACTTGGGACGATATTTAATCAGTCAGATTTAAAGTATTCTGGTCAGAAATTGGAAAGAGAGAATAACGTGAAAACAATCATTACATATATTGAGATCCTAACTACTATATCATTAAGTCAAAGTGTGTGAAAGGCATCATCAGCCTCCCACACAAATCAGACTGGTCGGCCAGAGATCCACATGCCACATCTCATCTGAGACACCCTCTGCCTTTAAAGTCTGATTGCTGCGTTAAAAGGCCTTTACTGACAACAGAAGCAGAGAGGGGGAGACAGAATGTAAGCTGTAATGGAATTTCAATGGGACTATCTCCCTGAGGTTGATGGGAGTGAATCACATTGAGAGTCAAAGAGCTGTGATTGCTCTGTGCTGCCCTGCAGGCACTGGGACTGATAGGACTCTGACCTTAGCAGACACGACCAGTCTGTGTTTGAATGTACCTAACACAACCTCTGCACTGCACAGAATTAAACTGAAATGTACACTTAATGGTTGTTATATTGGCTGCTCTACCATATTGGTTTAGACCAAATACATTTCATAGATTCATCTTCCCACATTTCTGCTTACTTTGGAGTTGAGACAAGTTCCATGAACCACATGGACAAGAAATGGAATAAAGGTTTTTAAGTATTTTATTAAGGCTCTCAGTGGCTCCATGTGATATTTTTAAAGGAATAGTTCAACATTTTGGGATATAAGCTTATTTAGTTTCTTGTTTAGAGTTTGATGAGAAGATTGATGCCACTCTTACTGAGATATATCATATTTATTCATGAGCTTTAGAGGTTGCGGTTTGGCTTGCTACCTTGGTACTGAGCCAGCTAAGCTATGCTAATCATCTCCTTGATGATACTTAATGGACAGATATAAGAGAGTGTGATGTTCTCATCTAACTATTTTTACTGAAATTGGTTAAATTTTCATATCATGCACTACAAAATGTAGCAGACCTTCTGTACCATTACTATGAATTTATATTTTCATCTAAGTAGTACAAGTTGCTGCTGATGATAAATTGACAACTGTTGACAAAGCATTTAGTTTGACTGGTAAAAGGTTACCTTTAATTATTTTGGTTGGGGTTAGGCTAAGGTTTTGCTCATGTTCTTTAATCACATGTTCCCTTTTTCTGCATATCAAGATGACATTAATTTCCAGACATGTCACAATGAGTTTCCCATGAGACCAGCTTGCCCTAACATGTAGCTGAATAGACGTTTAAATCTGTGTCCTTGGGTTTGTCGTCCTCCAGGGCAATGTGACCTTCTCATGTTCGCAACCCCAGCTGGTGGCCTGCACCTTTCTGAGCTCCAGCAGCAGTTTCCTGTCACTTTCATCAGCAGCATCTGCCACAGGGGGTTTCTCTGTTCGCTTCCAGTTCAGGACGTGGAACCCAGACGGGCTGCTGCTCTCCGTGCAGCTGAACCCGGAGCCCCAGAGACTGGAGCTGCTGATCAGCAACAGCCGGCTGCACCTGACCCTTCACAGCACAGGACGACAGAAATCAGAGGTCTCTGCTGGTGAGTCCATAGGCCACACATCCATATACAAAAAGCACACATGAAAACATGTATTAAATTCTGTGTTTGTGAGGACCATCCCTGACTTGAGTTTTTAACCTTCTGTTTTTTTTGTTTAAAAAAATGTTTATTGTGAATAAATAATTATGATTATCAGACATTTTGTGCATGTCGTACTTTTAGTAGATTTGATAATCTCCACAGATCAGTTCACCTTTAAACCACACAATACATTAAAATACATATAAGGCATTAAACAGAAAACAGTGTTTATCCTCAAAATTACATTTAAAATATTTAAGAGTTTACTTTATGTAGTAGGATGAAACAAGCCAATTTGGTGTTTGAACTACTCTATACTACTAAATATTCAAGATTTTCCAGGAATTTTTTTCCCATGCAAGAAAATGGAGCGAAGGTCCAAATCATCCTAATACCGACTCCACTTTGAAATGTCACTAGTTTGGCATACTTTCAGCTACAGACTAAATTTAAACTTAAATTGGCCATAAGAAGTTCAACTACTAAAGTTGTTTGTTTTATAGTAAAATATTGCTGTTTTATTTTTGTGCTTTTTTTAGCTCTTCTGTGAGTTTATAATGGGTGTATATTGCGTGAGTTAGAGTGTGTGACATCGATAGAGTGGAGAAGCCTTGGAAAGTGATCTTAAAAAAATTGTCTTTAATTCGCTGGCTTGACTACAATTTTTAACTCTTCATGCATAATTTTACACCAGAAATGTAGTAAATCTTGTTCTGGTTCCTCACATGGGCTTATTGAATCCATTGAAGAGTCACAAGCGACTCTGGCTCAAATGCCATTTGTAGTGACTTCATGTCGCCGATATGACCTACAGTTTAGGCTTTTTTGAAGCTTTTTTGAGACTTCTTTGATGGAAATTTTCAGAGGGATTTTACTGTCTTATCTGTGTGGTAGAGCTGGTTACTTTGGTGATGTTAATTAGCTGCTAACAGATAAAAGGACTTGGTCCTCTGTACTGATTGGTGGACTGAAGTTGAGCTGTTTTTTAATACCTGTCTGGGTCCTCTTCACTGATCTTCACTGTACTGCATACTGACAATAGGGTTTATAAAAAATTACACTGAAATACTGACACATAAAGGCACAACAGGGCTGACCTCCAGTAGTCGAAGATTCCATGCTAGGATGGGTGTAGCCTGATTAGACTGTCAATCTCACACTCGAAGCTTCGCAGCGAAACAAGGATCATGCCATTTTGGCGATATGGGGGTATGATTTACATAGAACTACAAGTTCATATACAGCCTATTACAATATATATTCCAACGTTTAATGCTGAACTTGTAAACAGAATAAAACTTTCAATAAATGTTTTTAAAAGTGCGTAAATAAATCCAAACTTGTAACCCTAACCCTGGGTCGTCAGTGCGCGCGCGTGTGTATGTGCGTTTGTGTGTGTGTGTGTGTGTGTGTGGTGGCTGGAGAGGAACACTTGCTGAAGAGACCGAGCCCCGGCTTCACTGGTGTTGCGCCCAAGTTGTCCGCACCTCGCGGGACTTTCGTAATTTATCACCGTTGATGAACCACACAAAGAATATTTTATCGTTTTTACATAGCCGGCTACTTGAAATAGACCCGCGAGGAACCGCGACTTGCATGCAGATGTTGGCAGCACAGGCATGCACACCAAAGTCACACAAGACTGGTGAATGACAGGCAGAGAGAGAGAGAGAGAAAAGGGTTTTCAAAAGCCTCAATTTAGCTGGAAATGTACAGTGTAAGTTGAATGAATAGAGACTGCAGCTCTGCAGTCTGCATTTTGAAAAGTAGTGTACAACCGATGGTCACCAGCCAAACCCTGTATACTATCATGCATTGCGCTGAAAAAACGGTCCACCAACTGATTGTCCGACGGCAATGACATAATTAACGGCGCTGTGGAGAACTTTACACACAACAACTACTTTTGCTACCTTTGTGGGGACTTTCATGCACCAAACCTGGCTTTGCCATCTGTTTTGCTACTGGATAGATGATTTTAGTCATCAGAACAGCCTTTGATTTTCTAGACCTTTGAAACTGAATGCACATGCAGGCTCGTTTGGTTGAAATGATACACAGTGGCGTCTCACTATTCCACTGATCTACAGGTGGCAGTAACACTCCAAGATATGCTGCAGTGCACTAGCAGAGGCAGGGTAGAAGAAAATCTTGATCTAAACAATTCTGAATTACTTAAATCGGCTTTGTAAATCTTTTAGGGAGAAAGGAAATGTGTTCAGTTGTTTGTTTACAACAACACTCCATGGGGTACCTTTACCAGAACCACTGACTTTTTTTTCTGCATAAATTAAAAACCTTAAGGAAAGAAAGAGTAAAAATCTAGCCATGGAAACAGAACTCAAATACATTTGGGCTGTGATGTAATTTGACCTTAGAGATGAGTACACTGGGGCATATTTTTTATCTTGCTTTGACACACACATCCACATGTGCATGCTGACCCCTAAATGCCCTGTTTGCAATATGGACTGCACCAACTCCACCTGGCCTCTTGTTTGTGTGCTTCACACTACTGAGACAAAGTAGAGAGAAAGACAGAGGTTGTGCAAGTAATTTCATCCGACTTACTTTTATCACCTTTGTCCTCAGTAAACTCAAAAAAGTTTATTTTCTTGGAATTACTTGGAGAAAAATATCATTCAATCCTCTGTATTAGATTGCTTAGCAAAGATAATACAGATAACCATGATTGTTTGGGGAAGCTAGACATTCAGCAGATGGTGGGCTGCAGGGAAATATAGATGAAGAAGACAACCACAGCTAAGGAACAATATTCCCTTTTATATAATTTACCTCAAGCAGCATTAAATTACCTATCTGCACTAGGGACTATCAGCCCTAGAGCTGCAGCACATGAGGAGTATGACCTGGAGTCGACTTGTTTTTTACAATAACAATGTGTAAGTAAAAGTTTCACTGCAATTTAATTTAGCAGAATAAAGAGGTAATCTGGTATTAGTTTGATATGAATAGATTTTTTCTCAGTAATTTGGCGAATCTATCTATTTATTGACCCACTTATTAGGATTCCTAGCTTTACTTCTTCCTTAGAGGGATTTTTGGAGGTCACAGCTGAAATTATTATTGAGCCAGAGCTCTGATAGGATCTTGCTTACAAATTCAGGGGGCTCATCTGGCTACTCTGCACAGAGACCGGTAACATTTTAAACGTACTGAGAGATAATCCCTGGGATCTAGTCTGTAAATGTGTGTAAAACGCAGATTTGCTGTATCAAACACAGACATGGGGGTGTAAATTCCTTAGTTTCATTCGGATCCCAAAGTAATATTAGTTCTGTGTGAAAAGGGCGCATGATACTGGGAGCTGCAGGAGATCTTCTCTATGATAAATGTTCTGAATCATAACCAAACAGTGAGATCCAAGCAGAGAAAACCGGACTCACCGCTCATAAATCTTTATTGTTCCTGTGGTGCGTAAAGATTGGCTGGGTCTGTAAACCTGAGTATGTTGTGCAGGTCAGGGGTTATTTTAAGACAAAAGTAACATGTTGCTGCCATTTATGTGATATTATTCTCAACTGCAAAATACTCAAAATTATTAGTAACGTGAAATTGCTGCACCGGTAGTGAAAATTCATGCATTTCTGTATGCATTGCCAGCAGTGTTAAAGCAACTAAAAGGAGCAATAATTTTGTGTTGATTCTGGCAGCCTCTGTGGATAAAAGCGGTAGTATTTCCTCCGCCTCGTAAAGATCTAGATCTGGCTGGCATGTGCTTTTGTTTTGGAAGCGAGTGAAAAGCTGTTTTGCAGGATGCAACAACGAGGTAATGTATTTATATGTGAGATTAATAACTGTAAAATAATAATTGTGAAACAAAGTGAACTTTGTTCCAGTACTGTTCAGACACCTATGTGACATGTAAGCCTATACTAACAGATTTGGTTGATCAGTAATAGTTATTTTGTTGAGAAAGTTATCAACAGTTATCAATATTCCCTTGTAATGTTATATCTCTGTAATAACTATACCTCCATATAAAATAGACATATCACATACCTGTCTAGGAGGAAGAGGGCCAATTCAGGATCGGCTTTGAACCCTTTAAATTCCTGCAATTCTCTCCATCTTTTGAATCACAGACCATGATCTGTTCAATGTTTTTGTCTCTTTGCTGATCCTGCCCCAGTATCAGCCATAATCATAAAGTATAACGTCAAAAATAAAATGAATTCCGGTCATTTAGACAATATAAATAGCCATTCTTCTCGCTTATGGTCTTGTTTGCTTATGCAGGTTACATAAAGGCATCACTAATAAATTGAGACTGTTTCATGAACAGTTAATAAATCCTTGTAGTTGCTTTAACAACCAGAGAGGGAAGTTGGAAGTCAAATGTATTTAAGTCAAGTTTATACACACATATAATATTCTCACATTTCTCCCCACTTTCCTCCGAAGTTATAACAGTATCACATACCTCACAGCAATACGCAGCGAGGATGTGTCAGTGCAATCATTAAGCTGAGCTGCAGGGCTCACCAAAGTTGCTGCAAATCATAAACTTTTTTCTAAATTTAACCTCCTGTTCTTCTTCTGCTTTCAGTTTTATTAGAAACGTCATTCTTTAAAACTGTTTCTTTTTCAGTTTGACAAGTAGACAGTAGAATAGCTTAAGGATAAATGCAATTGGACCTGTTTAATAAAGTGCTGTACTTTAGCTAAGTGCTCAACAGCATTAATGTGGAAAGAATATTGATCTGTATCTTCTTCAGTTCAGCCCAGAAATGATCTGCGCCAACACTACAGGCTTGATTTTCACACAAGCAAAGCTTTGGTTTCATTCACCTCATTCACCTCACTCTGCATCTATTGCCAGTTGGGGTTGTCAAGGACTTGAGGCAGCTGCCACAGCATCCTGGTGCAGTAATGACATGAAACTGTCACATGAAGCTGTGCATTTCCTGGAGGCAGCAGTGGGTCGTCTCAGACAGAGGAAGAATAGGCAAATGTTTTATTTGTCTTAACAGTTGAATAACAGTCATGCAGATCACTGATGTGATACAAAAACATTAGATTTGTGTCTTAGTACTTTGACACTCCAAGCTTGGCCAGCAGCAGGACAGCAAGGGCATTATATATATATATATAAGCTGAAAGGGGGCAAGGGAAACCCCCCACTGATGCTCGCCAGCAGTCCCCCGTGGCTACACTGCTTATTCCATGAAACAGTCAATGGAGTGGAGAAAAAACACCCATGGCACTCACAGTCTTGGGATAAAAGGTTTTTCTGTAAGCGACAGGCATCATTGGATTGTGAGTGAAATTCTTAAGTTTTTTCCAAGAGCCTGGAAGGATCTGATTTTAGACTAACTAAAATAACTCCCAGTGTGCACTCTGCATGACCATCTTGTCCCCTCTGAGCTCCCAAGACACAGCACAGCTCAATCTGGATGCTAATTTAGTCTGGGACCGACACAGCCAAAATGGAGGTGTGGCTCAGTAATTTCCATTCACAGCTGCCATTGTGGCGTTAGGGCCTCTTGAAAGCTACAGCTCTGTGAGATGAGCTGTCACTGTCAGTCTCAAGCTGAGATGTCTTGTTACTCATCTTTTTAGAATTTTATTTCCAGGTAAAACATTTTTGGGTTAAGCAAATGGAAAAATAGACACAAAGCTGGTGGGGGGAAAAAATAACGCAGATGAGCCAGACTGACACAGACCTGCGTATTTCGATCATTGCTGAATGCATTGCATGATGGTTAGTGATTTTGTCCAACTTGCACTTGATGCTTGACTTGCTTGAAGCATGGATATGGATATGTCGCTGGACAAAGACGGGTGAGCTAGAATAGAATGAATCTTCATGAGCTGCAAAAGCAAAATGCTTGATGGGAAACGGCTTGCCAAAAAGTGGAGCTAAGTGCTCATGGACAGTTTTTACCCTGTGGTATTGATGAAACTCTATTATCAATTTTCATCATTAGTCCATAGTGTTTATCCACAAGAACTTAAGCAGTAACGCTGCAAACACATTCTCACTCCCGACTCGTCACATATTGACGCTTGGTCAAGGCCCTTTGGCGTCACTTGTTAACACCCCGGGTACCCTTTTTGAGTCATTTTTAGAAGTTCAGAGCTCAAGTTAGCATCGCTTAGCAACAACAAATATGCAGCGTCTGGTAAAGTTAGTAATAATATGCAATGCCCGGTTACACTCTTACGCTAGTATTTCATAACAAGGCCATTTTGAAACGGCACTTTATTAAAGTTGTGAAACATCGCAATTTGGTTATGTTTAGGCAAAAAAACGACATGGTTACGGTTAGGTTTGTGCGTTACAAACTGACGCCAATGGGTCTTGACCATGCATCCGTATGTGACGAGTCGGGGAGTGAGAACGTATTTAATGAGCACATTTCTGACATTATCAAACGAAGGTTGAGATCAAGGGCAACTGGACTTGGTTGAAGATGCTAGAAGACGTTTGGTCCCTCCTCCAAGAGTCTTCTTCAGTTCTGACTGACTGGTAGGGAAACTCAGCTATTTAACCTCTGGGATCGTTAGCTAGGATCGTCGATACTGCTGGTTCGTTAGTGCTCCTGGCTGTGGTAAAGACAGTCGTCATGGTCATTAGAGCCACCTGTGGCCAAGTCTGAATGACCATTGTTGGCATCTTTACCTGAGGGCAAGAGGAAATGCTTGTTCAGTTTCCTGGGAAGTGATGAAAGGACAGAATTGTATGTGGGGGATAAGTGGTGGCGCAGACCCCCTCCTCTGTTCAACGACGGCTTCTCAACGATCCTAGCTAACGATCCCAGAGCTGAGTTTCCCTACCAGTCAGTCAGAACTGAAGAAGTCTCTTGGAGGAGGGACGAAATGTCTTCTAGTATCTTCAACCAAGTCCAGTTGCCCTTGACCTCAACCTTCATTGGATAACTATGACCTGGATAACTGAGAACCTTCACAGACATTTCTGACATCACAACCTAAAGGTTCAATGTGTAATATTTAGGAGGATCTACTGATAGAAATGCAATATAATATCCATAACTTTTTTTAGTTGTGTATAAAGACCTTTCATTACATTACAATACCGTACAACAAGTAACATTAGTAACATTTGTAGTAGTAGTAGTAGTAGTAGTAGTAGTTGTCTGGTTTATTAGAATTAATAAAAGAAGAGAGATTTGGACAAATGGATTCCTACATGTATTATTTAGCACAAGAGGCGACAAAGGGCTTCTGCTGCACACTTGGAACAGGAGGGAGGGGTGAGAGGTGCATTCATATGGTGTCAGAATAATCAGAATTTTTTTTCCTCCTTAAATCTTTATTACAAAAAGAGAAATAAAGTGTACATGGGACATAAAGAAGTACACAGAACTTAGAGTTGTACTTAGGCCTAGTTGCTTTGCCCCACTGGTGGTAATGTACATACAGTATTTGGTAACAATAATTACACGGAGAAGCTGACTTTACCGTCATTCCTACTCACAAATTCATCTAAATGATAAAATATGCCGTAAGAATTTTGTTGACAAGTAACAGAGCGTAGGAGGGAGAGATTTTTGTTTTGAGGCTCAGAGTGATGGAGGAGGCTTGAAGCTCTGTGACTGTGTCTTGTGTCAGTGAAGCGAAAACATCTGTGTGAAGGAAGTCTGCCGAGAGGAAGTTTGGGAATTTGTCTGCAATATTGGCAAATATTTACAAAAGTAGAAGTGTATCAGAAGTCTATTTTCCCAAGCAAAGGTAAAATTAATATTAAACTGTCATCTTCTTCTGTAGCCATTGTTGTGCTGAAAACAAAGGTACTGGTGTCTGCTGAGAAAACTGACTGGTTCACACTCAGATGAACCTGAATTTTTCACAGCTTCCAGGTCTACAGGAAAATGGGCTCAAATACCTCCTTCTGCTTGCAGACCACTGTTTGCCATTTCAGCGAAGCTTAATGTGAAATGCTCTTCTCTAGGTCACAAAGTCAACGACGGTCTGTGGCACTCTGTGAGTCTCAACACAAGGAATTTACAGATCACTTTGGCTGTGGACGGTGAGCCATCCTCCACAATTGAACTGTGGGAACAACTGGAATCAAGAGGCAGCTTTTACTTTGGAGGTTAGTATATTCTTCCAATCCAATATTAAGATGCCTTCATTCTTTCTCTTGAACACACACTGCAGAATATGTCTTGAAATGCTCCATCATGTGTTATTTCCATCCAGGCTGTCCCACTATGGACTGTCAGTACCTGACCCCAGCCTTCCAGGGTTGTATGCGGCTCATATTCATCAACAGCCAGCCGATGAATCTCAATCATGTACAGCAAGGATTGCTGGGAAATTCTAATGAGCTTCAGTTTGACACCTGCAATATAAGAGACAGGTAAAGTAGTTTGAATTTCTCAGTTACAGCTTTAATTAGAGGACAGTTCTTACAGAGATCTCACAGAAAACTTTGACATTCAACAGTGAAAATGTGTAAAACATTATCCAAGTAGGCAGCAGAAAGATATCCATGCACACGTTATTTTGTGGTTGCAGTGTGTTGTGTGTGCAGAGCTGCCTGAAAGTCACTGACATCTTGTCCTATAGAGACAAACGCTGACAGGATCATCCAATTAAATTGTAACAGAAACTCGGCAACACCTTCTATAGCTGAGGACTATGCTAACAAGCTGCTCCCTACTGTCCTGTGTGGCATCCCTCCCTGTCCCTATCCCTCATTACCCTTCGCAGCAGTGGGCCCTGTGAACAGGATTGGCAGACCTACGAGCTCCATGAATGACTGCATGTGGCTCTGAACATTTATAGGAACGAGACAAACATGCAAAATGCAGTTTTTACCTTGTATATGCCTTGAGGAGAGTCTCTTCTTTGTCAGATTTCATATTACCTGCTTCTAGTCTATGTTGTTCCCCGTCAGAGGATGTGCAAACACAACAGCGCTGCCAGTGTGTTATGTCAGTGACCGAAGTGATGCACTGTAGGAAATGACAGAATAATGGAATGAAATGTTTTCTTTCCCAAGTTGAGATGCGTTCGTCTTTTGCATGTGTAAATATTTTGGGTTAAAAAAATATAAAATATAAATTTAATACTTTGATGGATTAGTGCAAAGGTGGTGTGACAATCGGGGAAAATAGAACTTCTGTTATAAATAGCTCTTGGTAAAATCTTTGTGAAGGTTACAAAAACACACTTCGAAACAAGAAAAATTCTTAAAGCTACACTGATCACTTTTTGGCCAGTAGAGGGCAGAAGAACTCCAAAACAAGATGACAAACACAGGTCCTCAATATTATTTCATATAAAAATGTTATGGTCAAGGTGTTAGCAAACTGTTAATCACTGTCACTGTGATCTTAAAAGTTTGATGTAGCAAATTTGCTAACTGCCTATTTACACATCAAGCGGACGCAGAACATCATGATCATTAAGTCCATTATTCCCTCACGTTTTAGCTCTGGTTTGGTCTTCACCAACTCCTGGGGGAAATATCTAGTTCCAGCTGCTAAATGTTCTACTTCCTTCACCAGCTAGTCATTAAACCACATGAATAAAGAAAGAGGTTAAAAAACTCTAGAGAGCTGCAGAAACGATTGATAATTTTCACAAAGCATTCATAACAGTCATTTCACTTGTTAATATAAACAACAGTGATTATGGAGTTGTGAAAAACTACTGTTACTATTGAGGCAAAGTAGTTATGACATCTAAATGCGAAATGTTACATACATTTTAATGTATTTTCTTTGAAAAATATTTATCACTGCATAATGTATTTCCTGTCCTACAAAGGAAACAACCCATCTACATGCATTATGCAGTGTATATACAACAAGAAAGTCATGCACAGCTAAAATGGAATTTGTGAGTTGGTGACATTATCCAAACTTCTTTTTCTTTGTGATATGTAGTTGATGTCTTTGCAACATCCTGGGCTGTCGTGAGGACATGACATGTGCGACTTCTCTATTCAGCTTTGCAAATGTTGATTACATTGATGTGATTTAACTTACTGTGGCCTTTTTAATGAACCCTGAATATGAGAAAATTAACTTTTATCTGAATTATTCTCCTTTTCTTGTTTCTAATTAAATCGTGTGACTCAGTATATGGTCAGTGTGTACTTAGATGTGCTGGCTACTGTAATTCCATGACCTGTAAGGGCACCAATGAACACAACAGAAAATAGCTTGATGGTAATTAAACCAATGGCTGCAACCTTATCCATGTTGCGGCCGGCCCGCTCCGCTGCAGTTAATAGGTGGGAGATGAAAGTGTATGAAATTATAGATGCATGCTCGAAAGGCTGGCAATTATGTGAAACTGAAGGAGGCTTGAGGAAGGGACTATTAATCAGAAGAGTGTGGTTTGAAATTTCTATGAAGCGCTCATTGTGTCAAAATCCCATTAACAGGCATTCTAGTCTGAAGGTGACAGTAATGCTTATATTTTTAGAGAAACTCCGTGGCGTGTCAGCTCTTTCAAATTCAGACAAGGGCACAGTATGAGACACCATCATTTCACAGTTGTTTGGGATTTTTAATGAAACATGAATAAACAGCACATTTGCCTTTTGGGTGAGTTCCAAAGCGTGTGTTCATAATTGCATACAAAAGAATAAAGAGAACAGTGAGCAGGGGTCTTGCTTACCTGATAAATAAAAGATCAGGTTTGTAAACACTAACAAAAGAAGTATCTCTATTAGTGCCTAATACAAATGCCTGAGAGGTTTGTATGATGTTTTGTTTTGTCAAGAAATTGTTCTTGTTTTGTGCTTCTCCTAGCTTAATTTGTACTGAAAGTATCGACATGCTGGAAATTTGACAAACCTTGAAGATAAAAGTGTATTATAAACTAAAGCTGATGTGACGATTGGATTAGTTGATTGACTTAATTTGCAACTATTAACAACTATTTTGAAATTCAATTATCTTGTTTTAGCTTTTTAAATGGGCCTATTTGCCTCTCTATTTTTGTTTTATACCATTATAAATGAAATACCTTCACATTTTCAACTGCTGGTTAGACAGAACAAGCATGTACATATATTGTTTATTGTTTTCTGACATTTTATAGACAACTAGACTCCTAATTGAGTTATCAAGAAAGTAACGACCAGATTAATCAGTAATGAAAATAATGTCCTGACAGTAAAACGGCTGCGTTAAAAAAAGTACTTTTTTCCAGATGCCTTCCTAACCTGTGTGAACATGGAGGCCGCTGCTCTCAGACTTGGAGTTCCTTCTCCTGCGACTGTTCGGGAACCGGATACTCTGGAGCAACCTGTCACAACTGTGAGCAGTTCATCTCGCTTTCATTTCTCCACCTAGTCTCGAACCTGCTATTACACCCTCTGCACCTTCCCATATATTCTAGGTCTACTGAGCTGTGTCATTTGATTTGGCACACACATCTTTACCTGTCTTGCTCGTAGCTTTCTTCACTTTGCAACTTAGAGGCAAAGCAAAAACTCGTGCTCCTTCAACTTGACATGACCTTACAATCATTGCTGCTATTCTAGCTTAAAATTTTTTGATAATCTGATATTTACTTTTTCTTGAAATAGCTTTAGACTTGCTTACTTTAGACTGACTCTACATGTAGAGTTTTTCCTTACTGGTGTCATTTCTTGACATCCTGCAACATCGCCTTGATATTTGCTGTGGAGATGACTGTTGGAAACTATGCGTGAAATTCCCCTGCCCCAGAATACTGATTTCTTGTTTATATGCAGGCAACCGCATTTCTTTGCATGTCAGAGGGAACACGACAGATAAGAGCATCTGCTGAATTCTAAATATTTTTAATTTCCAAGAGGCTTTATCAGTTCAGAACTGAAGAAGCCTCTTGGATGAGAGGCGAAACATCTTCCAGTGTTTTCAACCAAGTCCAGTTGCCCTTGATTTAACCTACCTTGCTAACACAGCATTTCTTCCAAAGCTAAGTAGGATTTGTGGGGCAACATAAAATAAAAAATAATCAAAGTGCAGTAAAAATAGAACATCCAATGGGTAGTATTTTCCCATGAGGCTGACTTTTTTTTCTGGAATCCTGTGGGTCACAGGATTCCTGGGTGTTCCTGCGGGAAAGTCAATTCCACTATTCATCACAGAACTGGGACGAGACTGGGAAAAAAAGTCAATGGAGTGAACGGGATGGAAATCATAGATTTATAGTTTTTATATGTAATTATGCAGCTTTAATATGAATAAATGCCATTTTCAGATTTTTCTATCAAATAATTTTTGTGCGAATGGGACAGGAGTAAAGATCCACTCCCAGGTCACCCTCTAGTTAGTGGCTCCGTCCTTCTCTTTATTTAATTTAGGCAACTTTACATTTATTATCCAAAATAGCATTACATTCCCCTAACACACTGGTTAGGCTTTATCCTAAAAGCCTTTTAACAAGGTTTGTCCGTGAAAATTGAAACTTATTTTAATAAAATAAAATATAACAATAAAGCAGAAGTCTAAACTCTGTCTTTCTTGTCTAAGTATGTAGCAGGCAATCGGGGTTATGTTATAATGAAATACAAGTATATAACAATAATCTTGTATTTTTCCCCATGATACTGATACTAACTAGCTCCATACTGCATAACGACATCAAGGCTGCTTCTTTATTTACATGTCTAACTATCTGGCGCCATTAAAACTGTAAAGGACTGTGAAAGAACAGAAAGTGACATAGCAACAATACGGGGGTGGGGCTCAGTGAACAGTCGGTTTGGTGATTGATTTCAGATACTTTAATGTGAAGGATTACATGTCTATTAAGCAATGAGAAAATTACATTTGGTTCATAAATCATGTTCGAATCCTCGACATTTTAAAGAGATACACAGCTTTAGCTGGAAAGTGAATACACAATAAAATTATATAGTAAATCAATTCTGATCAGGCCTTTCAGTAATCATATATCCTCTATAACTGTAGTATCCAAAAAAAGGAGTGGTTGCTGTGCCATACTGCTCTGGATAGAACAGAAACATGTCACCAACAGCCAATACATCACTTCTTTTAAAGTATGAAAACATTAGCACAGTTTTGATTTCTGTCCCCTATCCACTTCTTCCAGCCATCTATGAGTCGTCTTGTGAGGCCTACAAGCTGATTGGCAGCTCCTCAGGCTTCTACTCCATTGATCCAGATGGGAGTGGTCCCCTAGGGCCCACACAGGTATACTGCAACATGACAGGTGAGATCATTGTAGTTCGCATGTTGTCACCTTTGCACTTTTTGAGTTCCGCTGAGAACTGGCAGAAAGCTCTGAGTCCACTCACTTAAAGATGCACTGCATCGATCTATGCCACAACGGCTATCTGACAGTTTCACATCCAGTAAGAAATCATTACAGCCATTTGGCAGTTCCACGAGAGTTAAGAACATATCTGTGGGAAATCAATATTGTAAATATCCATGTGGTTACAATTAAACATCTCAGTGTCTCAAGGTGATTTCACAACAAACTTGTTTGGTTCAGTTAAAACAAACCATGGTGTATTTGCCCATTTAGTGAAGTTCATTTTGGCAGGTGGAAATGCTGTCAATTGAACCCTGGTATGGACCAAACAATCGGGCCGAGACCTCTTGAAAAGCAGGGTCTCAATCCACTTACAAGCGGAGGCTGTTGCGGTTCGTTTGTGGTGTGAAAGCAAACCAACCACAGTATTTTTAATAGTAGAAAAGGGATTTGAGCGTGATTATAAAAGTTAAACAACTATTAAATCTATCTTATGACTGTGACATGTTGAGGAAGCGATCCTATAATCGATCTGCTTAAGTGAGGAGGTATATATTTATCTAAATCCTTTGATAACCACGGTGTCAGCAAGTGAGTGTGGGGATTTTCCCTGATTAATCAGACAGTCAAAAGCAGTTCCCATGAACTTCTGTCCTACTCTGTGAACAGTGATTGCAGTTGATTAGGAAAGTTATTATTAAAACAATATTTTTTATTTGCCTCTTTTTCATCCTGTTCTGATAATGAGCTGATGGTGCAGGATAACAATGACCACAATTGTCCAATCAGCTAGATACATGTCATGTTTATGCCCCTTGGTTTGTTTGTAAAAAGCCAGAGTGAACATGATCCAGAGGAGAACTAAAATGCAACAGTATATCATTTTTTCCTTTGGTTGGCTAAGTGAAGCAAACTTAAATAGTCCTTAAACAGTCCTAAACATTTTTTTTTTAATATAAGAGAAAACAACCTTACAGCTAATGTGTGACAGATCATTATGTTTAAACTGCATCCTGCCTTATCTTGTCTTAAACTTTAATTAAAATGGAAAACAAGCTACCTTAGTGCCCCAAACAATGCAAGCACCCTTTGGTTCAGTTCAGTACATCTTGTGCTTTTCTTTTTTTTTAGGTTTTACTGAAGTCAGCCATGTAGAAGTTATGGCTTCTCAAATTCAAAAGAGTCATGAAAAAATTACAATTTAACAAGCTTACAAGTCTGACGCCCCACTAGTGGACCCAGTTTTTATTAAAGCATGGGGTCATTAAAGTCAAAAGGGTTAATCCCCATGGGAGCACTAATCTGCTCAGTAAATTTCACGGCCGTCTGCCATTAAATTATGAGATATTTTGTGTGCAAGACTGACATTTTGAACTGAGGGTGGTGCTGTAAAAGTGTGCAAAATGCAAATACATTTGTACATACCGTACAATAAATGCACAATACATTTCACAATGAATTCCACAGCAATCTGCTGTTAGATTTGGATTTTCCTCCATACAAATGAGACCACAAATGAAATTTCAGTGATGAGATCACAGAAATGTGCCACACGGTTGATGTTAAGGGTAAGGAGTCGATAAAATCATAACAAAACATGCTCTGGGCAGCACAAATATCCATACTAAATTTCATTGAGTTTTAGAGATGACGATTCCCATTGGACCTTAAATTATTTACATTATACAATTAGTATAATTTGACAGTTGGATTTGTATAACAAGTTTTATGTAGATAGTGTAGAAGCAATGGTCTTTTGAATTTGAAAACCTGGACCTCACATTTTGTCGCCCCATTAGACCTACTATATCAATGTGATCTTTTGATGGCAAGAACACAATGTGCTCTGTATCACCTGACTTGTCACCTGAGATGTGACATTTGACAGACAGGGAGAGGGACACAACCTGATCCACGGTCTTCGTGACATATAGGACAAAACATATTCAGTTAAGTTTTGACACTGTAGAGACAGTATTCATCACTGAGCTGTCACAACTTTCTCAGCTACTTTGTCCTTTGCAAGGTTAATGTACCGGTGATGTTACAGAGGGGAGCGCTACCACCACTTGCTGTCTGGTTTGGGCATTATGTAGTTTCACTCCCCCTCGCAAATCTGAATTGTTCGGCAGCAGATGTGCCTCAACTTGACCTCAATTAAGGAATCTATTAGAAATGTAAATAACTCTAAGCCTGACAACCTGATGTGAATAATCACAAAGTGGAGAGGGATTTTCTCTAAGGCAGAGTAAACATAAAATCTGTATAATGAAAATTGAGTTGGGATGGAAATAGGATGAGTTGCTCATCTGATTTTATTGTACAACCCCAGTGACTCCCTTTGTGAGGACAATAATATAAAATCAGTCAATTCACAATCAGCAGGGGTTAGAAATTTAAAGTCAACTGTCTCATACTATAAGCAATAAATGCAGACTGATAGCAAAAAAAAAAGTTCTTCTGCTGTGATACATTTGTATCTGGTAAGGTTCAGGATGTTTGATGTTTTAGGTGTTCACAGATTGGGGTTAGAGAAGGTCGTCATATTGTTGCTTGGGAACAAGTGCATTCATTGGATTTTCAATGGTGCAAAACTGCAAAGATTTGTGTTAGATGATTCATCCAACAACACAATCATTGACAATAGCCTTTGTATAGCAACATGATCAATCAAAACACCTACTGTAATACAATGTGATTTATTTCAATTCAACATTATTATTAAAGTATTGTGCGATATTTTATGTTATATTATCCGAAAGCACGTATGCATAGTTTGCATTTAGTCTTTAATTTGCCTATTTGATTACAATTTTTGCAGTGCAGGGGAGGAGGAGGTTAGTGACAATAATAAAATCATTCCAGGTTGAAGGAAGCAAGGAGACAGATTTATCAGTATAGTTTGGCGTTTTATTTACAATATTAAGTAACCAAGGTACTCTCAAAAAGGTATTTCAAAAACAACTTCCCAAAGACAAAGAGGAAGCGCCCAGTTCAGGTTACAGTTAGGACAACACTCCAGCAAACTAAAAGGGTAAATACCACCCTCCCTCCACTGAGGGAGTGAACCCCAACACGAGGTTCAGACTCGAGCCACACCACTGCAGTGTCACCCAGCGCTCCAAGCCATCTGTCTATCCAAGTCTGCTCTCCACGCTCTCCACACTCAGTCTGCCTGCTCGCTGCCCCTTATACCAGCTCCTGTGCTCCTGCTGATTGCAAACTGGGGACAGGTGTGCACACTAGCCGCCTGGCTGCAACATTGAGAGGGGGAAGGGCAGGACCTGCAGAGGACAGACAGTAGACCTGGGCAGATACACACGGCCTAAGGGCCGTAACACCTGAATTTAAAAATGCTAAATGATGTAATTATTTTATGTAGCCAATCATTTGTTCTAGGAAATAAACCTACTAACAATATAAATAAACCTACTGAAAGTATGTACATTTGTATTTAGAGGAAAGGGTGAAAGTGAAGTGTTTCAAAGATTATCACAACTTTTCTGTATGACGTGTGGGTGGTATGTTAACAGAGTAACATGTTTTTGTATTTGGAATCTAACAGTTTTGTGTTTAAAGGACATAATAAGGACATTAGGTTCAGGCTAACACATTTTATTTTTTAGAGCGAGAGTAAAAGGTGTGAACTGTGGTTTCAGGCTAACAGTTTTTTTTAGAAGGTGAGCAAAATGGAATCATGCTAACAGGATAACCTTTAACACAATTTTTTGTTTGTAGAGGACAAAGTGCTGATGAGATCATGCTAACAATCTAACATTTATTTAGGGAAGGTGTTTACAGTGGGTTCATGTTAACAGACTAACATTTTTCTTTTAGAGGAGAAGGTGTGGACAGTGTTGACACACAACAGCACAGCTCCAGTTACAGTCAAGGGCTCCTCTCTACGCAAACCTCACATCATGAAGTTCAACTACAGCACCTCAGCTGAACAACTTCGTGCAATTGTGTCAGGGTCAGAGCAGTGCCAACAGGAAGTGATTTACAACTGCAAGAAGTCCCATCTCTTTAATACAAAAGGTGAGTATTATTTTCCTCTGAATGTCAAACTTGCCCTGAGCTGTAGGATTTATGAATCTTTGTTTTATGCCAACAAAAACTGTAAAATATGTCTCTGAGAACAACTGAATTGTGAGTGTGGCACGATTAAAACACAGTGAATAAAGGTTGAAAGCCAGTGAAATTGAAATGAGAACGTCTTGCACTGAAAGCTGCTACGACTTATAAGCTAACAGTCAAGTTGGGTTTTATAGGATGGGCTACATTAGCTAGTCTTTTACATATATTTGGTATATACCAAGAAATAACTGGACAATTGACACCTGGTTACACGTGATTAGATCTAGTAAAGAAAGTGTATTTCAGTTTAAAAAGCTGAGATTTAGCATGGTTAATCATGTGAGTGAGCTGCTTGACCACATGTTGCCCGTGATGCCGACATACTGAGGAGAAGGAAGAAACAGATTTTGGTGTTGTTCTTTTATTTTGGAGACTTGCATTAAAAAAGGCAAAGGTCTGCATTGGTGGAGGCGTGTTGCTGAAGGAAATGGTGAGACATGAAATACGAACAGGAAGTGTAATAACAGATGAATGCGTTTCAAGGGTTAGCTAAGACAGCGTTCATGTTGATTGGCCAATGCAGCACCTGACATGACGTGACGTCATATTGTGTTGGGGGCAAAAGATGACCCAGGTTTTTCACACAGGACTAAAGTTAGTGTGGACGGTGAGTCTTGAATGTTCTGTACCTTGCAGCATCTGTGGAGTGTTTCTTTTTACACTGAATTGAAAGTCAGGCTGTCTGCATTTTGTCACACTGAGAGCTGCTGCCCCTTCAACACCCTGTCTTCAGCTTCACTCTTGTTATATTTTCACAATAACTAGAAAGTCGGTCTCCAATCTTCTTGTGTGCATTCATCCTGCACTGTTCTGGCACCTATGGTGTCGCAAACATCCAAACATTTGCTCTTAAAACATGAAACATTCATGAAGTCCCAGATTCCGCCATTCCCCCGGTGCCATGCATGTGCAAACAAACAAGTTCATTATCACACCAGACATCAAAGAGAGACAGAAAACTGGCTATTTTATAGATGCATGAACACTTTCAGAAACAGTCTGAATTTTTTGATGGTTGCCTTTGTTGTTTGAGCCTAGACATCTCCTGTGGAAGAAGGTGAAACCTGTCTTTGCGCTTCACTTTGCTGAGCATGTCGACACAAACAATATTACTCTTGACAACAAACATACTTTACAGCTTATTCAAATTAATTATTGGACAAAATTGCACGTATGCTAATTTACAGGGGAAAAAAACAACAACCGCAGCTGTTCGAGGCAGCCCACTGGGATTATAGAGCCAGGCATGTGCCAAGAAGTTCTGAAGTTCACCTCCATTTGTGAAGTTTAGCTGTGTGAAATGTCCCCTCTTTGCCATCTTTCCCGTCAGTCTTCAGTCTACACTTAAAACACAGATGTTCAGCCATTTAATGTCTGTAATGATTTGCGTTGTTTTTCTTTATTTAATACCTGTAATGAGTTTGCTTTGAGGGAACCATGATACCACTGCCAATGTGATAGTGAAGTAACAAACAGCAATTTAACGGCTTCTCTTCTTCAGTCCTGCTTGTTATTTTCACATTCTTATTTGTCTCCAGCGATCCTTTTTTTCACAGTTGTTATTTGTTTAGGTATTTCTTTGTTTGGGTATATTGGATGAGGCAACTTGGCATTTAGAAAACCTTCATTAAAGCCTACAACATGCTCATCTTTATCCACCTGACCGGTGTGGTTGTTTGTGATTCATACTGATTCACAAAGCCCAATTTTACATTTAGTTTAGAAGACAATTCTTTTTCAATCTTGTATATCTCAGCTACAGATGGGGCCTCAGAATGATGATGTTGGCCTATTCAGCCAGTCGCTGTTCAGACGTGTCTTGTTTTTTTTGTTTGTTTGTTTTTGTTTTATTAACGAAAGCACTTGTACTGTGGTGCTCCATTCACGCTGTTACTTGTTTGAGATTGATGCAAAATCAATTTTCAATGATAACAAGCTCTAGTTCCTAGAGAGTTTAAATACAGTTGTTTAGTACCATTCAAATTGGACTGTCTAAGTATTCTAGCATCACATTTCTTTTGTATTGTGGCTGTAATGAACATTGCAGACTCGAGCGGCTGCTTGTGGGGCCTTTTTCACTGGTTGTCAAAATGTTCATTTCCAGTCATTCCAGTAAAGGAGAGCTTTGCTGCTGTGAACAAGTCCTGTCAATATCTAGCCAATTTGAGGGAGAGTGGGACTCACCTTTCCTTCAGGAAGTATTGATTGTTGCCTTTTCTTATCTGTACCTGTTCAGGGTCTGGAAAGTGTTTTAAAACAAGCCGCAGAACAGGGTGGAAACGGATGACTGCAATGAGTGCCATGACAGGGAGAGAGGGTAAAGATAATAAAGTGTAGAATAATTTTAACCTTTGAAATGCAAATGTTGACTGGTTGGCTACTGTTCATCTAGCCCACATTATTTCTTATCCTGTCTGTGTTCCAGCACTGCATACAAGTAACCTTTGTCTTTCCATTTTTGGTCAGATTGCAGACATCAGATTCTTTTTGGGTTTAAGTGTTATCTATACAAGAGCAGAATTTCACAGGGTGGACTGACATCATTGACCAAACATTCTTTGCACTCTCAAACCCACTTGGTGTCTTAGATAATAATAACAATATAATATGTGTATCCATAGATTAAAAAAAAAACATTGCCTAATGCAGCTATAAGGTATGCTGGGGAGAAAGAAAGCACAGCATAAGCGTGACACTTGATTATGTATTGTGACATGTAGCTTAATGGGCTTTTCCTCGCTCGCATGGCCTCATCTCCAATGCAGGGTCATGTTGTGTGACAGATGATTGAAGCTGGTCCACTTAACCTCACAGTGGAAGTAATGAATTGTGCCTGCCTTTATGGCTTCGCTGTAGCCTCATTGACACTCACAGACAATGCATCATAAAATGTCAGGAGAGAATCAAAACAAATAAATTCATGCAGTGAAGACAATTATGCACAATTCATAAGAAAATAGGTAGGTCTAAATTGAAGAGAAGTATCAGAAATGAACTGCCTGACTTGGAAGCTCTGTAACCAAATCTCTTTTGCGAATTGTTTTGTTTTTTAATAGTTAATTCTTTTCTCTCCCCCATTTCTTTTAATCAGTTTGTCCTGAAATTGACTTTCTATCCCTTCTCATTATATTTCAAATCTAACCAGGGACGGGGGCTGCAAATTAGATGTCCTATATATGTTACATATGTTATATTGCTTATTTGTATGTAGCAGTGTTTATCTGAATGGTCCCTATTAAATACACAAATAAACAAATACATACATATAAGACATGTGCTAGAAGCTGAAGGCTTATACAGAGACCTTTCCGCAAAAAGCTTTCCAAGATAAATACACTAAATTAAATAGAGGTTAGTTGATAAAACAGATTTGGGTTTTTAAAAAACAGGACATATAAAACCGTCTACAAGTCTAAACGTGTGTGCTTATGTGTGTATGGAGTGACATCTAGTAATAGTTTTGTCTTTCCCAGTGTTTGAACACTTAATCTACTGACTTATGACCAAAATGTTTATTATCTGAAACCTGTGTTTTTCTTTATTTTGTGATCGAAATGCCTCACGTTATGTAAGCCTCTCAGCACAGCTGTCTCTGACAGAACAGGATTTCTGAAGCATGCTTATCTAATAAATCTTTCATTTTCGTTTGGTGTATTTGTTAATCTTTCTTTTTTTTCAATGCACTTCCATATATATGTGTACTTACTTTTTGAATTCTAAGATAAAGCCAGTGAAGCAAAAACAATGCAATCTTCCAAATATAACCCATGACCTTGACCTACTTGAGCTTGAGCTCTGGGACCGGGCAGGCATCGGGCTGCTGCAGTGGTCGCTGACTATCTGGTGTGTTGCTGCAGATGGCAGTCCGCTGTCCTGGTGGCTGGACCGGGAAGGAGAGAGACGAAGCTACTGGGGAGGCTTCTTGTCTGGAGTTCAGCAGTGCTCCTGCAGCCTGGAGGGGAACTGCATCGACATGAACTACTTCTGCAACTGTGACTCTGATACAGACGCATGGTAAATACACACATATACTGGCATTTGTAGTCCTGAAACAATATTTGTATTCCATTTTTTTTGCAACATATTTTTATTAAAAGAGAGGTTTATATTAATTTGCCTTTTGTATTAGCGAGGGTAGGCTTAACACAAACACCTCTCAAAATAGTTTCAACAAAAACTGAACATTTAGTTTAAAAAATTTATTGCAGTACTGTTGTATAAGACTGCATTAGATTTACTGTAGCTAGGTGTACCTAATACACTGGCAACTGTGTATTACCAAATGTATGTCTAACCCACACTTCTAGGATCCCCATCCTACTTAAATATGAGTTTCCAAATATGCATAATTAACAAACATGAAAAATAAGAAAGAAATAGACCAAACATAAAAACAAATAATTAACATCACTGATCTTTCAGAATTGCTCTGTGGTATATCCATAAACTACCACCCTGATATTCAGTAGATGCAGATAGATACAGAAGAAAAACACTAAACAGATTCTGGACTTTGAGCTGCTCTTGCTGCTTTTGTTGAACACCCACTGAATTGACTAGTTAGTCATAAGTACAGTACATAAGTACAGTAAAAGTGGGTATATATGCAGTGTTTTGAAAATTAATGTATAGAATACAGTGTCATAAACATACTCTGATTTTTGCTCATTATCTGTTTTCGATTGTGTCAGTATTTGTTCATCAATTTTTTTTTATATATATATACCTACGTTTTTACTCTGAAATGATTAATTACAGCTCATACATAATATACAGTTATGATCAAACTAATCAGAATTTCTAAGCACTGAATGAATAAACAAAGGCTGCATTATAGTTTTGTTTCTGAATGTCTTTGTTTACATTATGTTAATCTACTCCAAAGCTTCTCTCGATTCAGCCCAGTTTGCATATTTCCAGAGGCAGTTGTCTGCATTGTGATAGATTGCCGTATTTTTAATGTGTTTACTCTGCGTTCTGTGCTAATGCAGAGGAATGGATGCCTTTATCTGGACCCCCATAAAGGCATCCAGCCTCAAGGGCTCTGTGTTACCATTTATTTATTTCTTTTTTGTGTGTCACAGGGCTAATGACACAGGAATCCTCTCCTATAAAGACCACCTACCAGTGAGCCAGATTGTGATTGGAGACACCAACAGAACGGGCTCACAGGCCGTCTACCACATAGGACCTCTGCGTTGTTATGGAGACAGTAGGTGATCACCTCAGTGTTGAAGCTACTGTGCCAGATTTGGTTGCAGATGGAGCCCTTGATTTAGAGGCTTAGTGCTGATCAGAAACAAACCATGCTCAGATGAAGTCTTTATGCCTGTTTTGTTTATCCATGGATAGAGAGGTATATACCTCACCTGTTCTGTTACATGTCGAACACCTGGCTGTGTGGACTTTAACCTCTTAAAATCAGCTAGAACTACCAGTGGGTCCCTCTTTACAAACTCATGGTGTGCTTCCAGGCAGGGGTGCCAAAATGTGAGGAAACACGGGGGGAGAAGCTGGACAGCGGCAATGGGACATGAAAGAGATTGTAGACATTTACAGCTTCATGTCCCAAAGTGAGCTGTGGACACAGGACAGGGAATTTTTAGTAGCCCATTTGCAGTCAAATATGAGTCCAAACCCCCATGATTTTATTTTAAAGTGGAGATACCATCGTTTCCTAAAGACATCAAATATGTCAGGCTGAAGTATGTCTAGAATTAATATTGTGCAGAATATTTCCAGGACCAATAAACTGTACCTATGATTTGACCTATTTTAGGTTTCTGTCTGACACTAAACATTGAGACATTTATAATCTGGACGATAATAAATGTATGAACATTGACTTTATCTTTGTTCCTGGAATTTCTAAAGAAATTATTAAAGTTCAAGCTCCATCTGATTGTAACAATCTGCCCACTTCACTTCTATTACCTCCTTTCATTTCTTTAAGGCATCTCTTCTTACTTATCTTCAGACATCCTGCTCCTGCTTCTAATTATACTGAGATATTTAGCTCTAACATGTAGGTACATGGAAATACATGTATGGGTATGTACACATTTACTGTGTGTATTTCCATTGAATCAGTGGGTGTAGGAGTGGCTAGGCCTGGGGTGGCTTTTGTCTGTGTGGGTGTGAGTGTTTGTGTTTTACTTTATGTACTGTATTCTCTGTATGTTTGTGTTAAAGTCCCACATAAAAATGTAATCATTCTTCTCAAGGGGATAATCCTTCTAATAAATGTTTCTTGTTTCCACTTCTGCGTGTCAGTAGAAATAGCTTAGGTAATTTGTGTTAAGTTTCTAATAATGCTGCAAAACTAAAGACAGTACCTTGAAAGAGTCCTTTGCTGCTTCAATAAAAAAAAAAATCTCAGACATAGTAACAGAGAAACTGATTTACTTTTATAATTTTTAATGGTGTTTTTGACATCATTTAACCCTGGTACCATAGCATCCCATGGCAATGAGCTCTCCTAACAAAATTTGTTTAAATGTTTTATGCGTTTCGATAAAAAAGCTCATTGAAAAACTGTCACCTGGTGGAAATTATCATTCAATGTGAAGCACAAAGACTCACCACAAATGCATTACCATTGTTTTTAACACTTCAAATGCTTAAAACTGTTATCTATTTTGATGTTTTCCTAACAATGGACCTCTTGCAATTCCATGACTTATGTATATGCTCCTTCAGTGGAAAAGGAAGCATCACCTGTTAGGGATTGTTATACTAATGCAAAACCTCTTATGAACAGTCTGTTGGGTGCACAAAGTGTGTGAATTTTGACACCATATATTGCAGTTTGCTTCCTGTTTCCTACCAGAAGTCAACATTGAAACATTGGTGACAGATCAGATGTCAGAATTCATTAAATCCCTTCTCTATTGTGTTTTGTCAGTGTACATGTGAGGAAAGGATGCAAGTGAGGCAGACAATTTAGACAAATGAGACCTTATTTTGGACTTTCCCTCCTACCTCCACTTTATTTTCCTCTTTCCTTTCTTTTTTTTCTTTCAGAATCTATATGGAATGCAGCATCTTTCTACCAGGAGTCCTCCTACCTCTACTTCCCCACCCTACAGGCAGAGCTCGCCTCTGATATCTCCTTCTACTTCAAGACTAGCACTCCTTCAGGAGTGTTTCTGGAGAACCTGGGCCTCAAGAACTTCATCAGAGTGGAGCTCAGCTGTGAGTCAACAAGAATAAAAGAAGTGCAGCATGCACAAAGAACATGACAAGGTCATGCACACTGAATGTGAGAAAGAACAGCCACACATCCACAGCCACACAAGCTGTCAGAGTTTTTTTTTCTCACATGGAAATGCTAGCTGTTCTGTAGTTGACAGTTTAATTTCACCGAGAAGCAGGCTGTCAGGTCTGCACAGCATGATGTAATCCTAATGACACAGTCAACAGCAATGCCATGCTGTCATAGCAGACATTTAAAGCATTTCCGTACTACCCATGTAGCGAAGCTGAAATCCCAACCCCTTCTCATTCCCAGGCCGTCAAATACCGATGTATTGTCATGTCCCTCGGCGTCTCCTACAGACATTCGAGGCACCCTTTAGCATCTGTATGAGACGCCTTCAGAAACTACTTGGTTAGGTTGTTATACATCACGAGACGCAAGCAGTAATGTGACATAACTTAAAAGTTTGGTGAGGTTTATGCAACAAAACTACTAAGAAGTCAGTGTTGAGCTTTGAGATTAAAATCCGGTGTTTGTTTGACCCATCCATCTATCTTCGCACTTTATACCACGGCACTTGACTTTTTAAAGGCTGTCTGGCAGCCCTGTGCGCAGGGGGGAGTGACCAAAATGTCTGGGCTGGAAGTCCTTACACCAGATGGATAAAGAAGCAGGAGTTCATTAAATTACCTTGTAAAATTTACTGTAATAAAGGAGGAAAAAATGCTGCAAATCAGATAGATTTACACAAAAGATTCACTCGTTGACATGAGGACCAATAAAGAAATACACTGTAGAACTAAGGGACATGAGCTACTTACCAGACAGCATGTTTAATAAGAACAGGGTCCATATCCAGTCCTCAGAGAGACAGTTTAAGTATCAGTGGATTAGTTTATTTATTATACTGTAGGTGTTTTCATCACAAACCTGGGGGAGGAGTTCTCAGAATATTTGGAGCCACTATGTATTACTGCAGCATCAGAGATGTTGTGAAATATTGACGAGCTGTCAGCTGAGCCTCCTCATAAATCTATTCAGGTCATCAACTTTTCCCAGCAGCATTGTATCACATTGCATCAGAGAGGGAAGATAGAGAAGCACATACAAAACCTAATATCACATTCAGTCTGACCTGACTGTCATGTGTGTGTACGATTTCCCACTGGCCTCCCAGATCCCTCAGTGGTGACTTTCTCCTTTGATGTGGGAAACGGTCCAGTGGTCCTGTCCGTGAAGTCTCACCTCCCTCTGAATGACAGACAGTGGCACTACGTGAGGGCAGAGCGCAATGTGAAGGAGGCCTCCCTGCAGGTCGACCAGCTTCCCCTCCGCTTCCTGGAGGCTCCAGCTGACGGACACCCCCGTTTACGGCTCAGCAGCCAGCTGTTTGTAGGTAGGCTCGCCATCAGATTGAATAAACCTCCACCAGGGATGGGTTTTATTTAAACAGTGCAGGAAGCGGAGAGTTAAACCTCTTTTACAAGTGAGATCTAGCCAAGACAGGGTCACAGGGCAGCATCCAACACCCAGCAACAACAACTTCAGACCACACAGCAGCAATGGGTAGAACAAAAAATTCATTATATAATAGTGCATTAACAAGCCAGCAATATTTATCCATGTGTTTGTTAGTTAATTAAATCATCTGCAGCTAGCAGTAACCAATTAAATTTTTAATAAAAGTTTAAAATCTTTTAAACGGATAAAAGTCTCAAGTTTGAGCTTGGCCTGCAGATCGTTTCATGATCAAGGACCAAAAGAAAACCTCTGTACTGGTAAAAGACTCGTTATACTGAAGCCATTCATCACGTATAAAGTTTATATGATTAATAAGAAAATAATAAGCAAAATACCTATACTAAAGTACAGCTGAATCTAACATGAGGTTTCCAAATCAAGTGGGTATCTTCTGACATTTTTTTAGTACTGATTTTCCTCTTCATGTTCCTCCTTTGTTTCACAACTACCAGGACAAAGATACTTGATTTGGTTTTAGCTGAACTTGAATGCATCTTTACAAGGACTGTGGGTTTTGTCCTCTATCTCTTACAATGTATTCACACTGAGAAGGTGTCCCTTCACAGCCATAATGGAAAGGAGAAGTGATAACAGCTAACAATAACTCTTTAAAAGTATATTTGACCTGTGAGTATTGTATAAATATAGACTTGAAAGAATGCAAACCTGTCCTGTAAGCTACTGTGAAGAACTAATGTATTTAATTATTATTTCATTACTGCTCTGGTTCAGGAGCATGGCTGCTCTCTATCTCATCTCGCATTTCTCCAGAAGCCTTTCCCCCTCTGACATTTTAATGTGTCTCCTTAATAATACACCAGCCCTTTGGAGGAGACAGAGACACCTTTTTTTTTCATGTGTTCTCCATTTTAGGCCTCAGTTCATGCACTTCATGGATCATTTACTTTAAGAAATAATTTATCAGAGTGAAATGACAAATGGAAGCAATAATCGTCTGTGGACCTTAGAAGAACTTGTCATTAGATGAAGATTTAATTGTTTTCATAAGAAGGTACAAAGGTGTCACTTTATGAAAGTACGCATCCATTCTGCCAGAAAACTAATCAAAACTAGATTGCTAGTTTGGAACAGTAGATAATAAAAATGACTAACATTTTACAAAATAGGAAGTGGGAAAATTAAAAAACAGTGTTTTACTGGGTTTTTATTTTAAAACAGAAATCTTTCATTGCCAAAGTGCACAGTTCATATACGGAACCTGGTCAGTAAAGGTTCACACTATAGAAATAATATCTACAGGTACATACAATATATTCATTGAAACAAACAAAATACCATTATGTAATTTTGCTTACGTATTATTATTATATTTTACCTAAAATGTTTAACAGATTGTTAAATAGAGCACTATTTGCTTTGCTTTATTGTTGCTAGTCCTATTATTATTATTGTTATTATAATCATTAACATTACGATTGTTATCATTAACACTATTATAAATATCTGTACCGTTTTTCGTTTAGTCTGTAGCAACATTACCTTCACTGTGTGTACCTCTGTGTGTGTATATTGTGTAGGCTGCTTCCCTCCCCTCTCTCTCCTTCCATCCCTCTCTTTTTCTCTCTGTTCCTCTCCTGCCCTCTCCCTCTCCCTCTCTCTCTGTCTCTCTCGCTCTCTCTCTCTCTCTCTCTCTCTCTCCCTCTCTCTCCTTCACCCCAACCGGTCGAGGCAGATGGCCGCCCACCCTGAGCCTTGCCTCTGTCGCCTAGTGCTTGCTCTTGGTGGGAACTGTTGGGCTTCTGTAAATAGCATCATAGAGTACGGTCTAGACCTGCTCTTTTATGAAAAGCGCTGTGAGATAACTGTTGTTGTGATTTGGCGCTATATAAATAAAATTGAATTGAATTGAATTGAATTGAATTTGACAGAAGACAGATTTAGCTTGTTTGTCTTGTGATAGATAGCGGGATATTGGAGTGCACTACGCTGAATGAATGTTGAATTTCTCACCTAATACATATAGGATCATTACTGTAAAAATGTTTAAATATACAGTAGCTCTACACTATATAATGTAACCCAGTACGGCTGTTAATTATTTATTCAGAAGCTCCTTTCATTTTTATAGATTTTAGCAAACAGTGACAGATACATCGTGTAACAGAAGTTGCTCTTTACTATATAATGTTTCTGTATAATTACACTGCAATTACACTAGAAGGGTGCAACCCCAAGCCATATTAAATGCCTTCATTCTGATAGTCAACATGAACAGACATAGACAGTTTCCACTTTCCACAAACAACCGAGGATAAATGCAGTTCTGGGACAGAAAACACGTTTAGCTTATATAGGTAAGTAGGTAGGTACATTTATTATCACAAAATAACAGGATATATAATGAAATTGAGCTTTGTAACTCCCTTCTGCTACATAGCAGACAATATACATTAATACAGAAGCAATTAATAAAAGAGGAAACAGAAATAAACAATATTCAATGATCATTGGAGCAGTGCTGAGGATGAATTAAAGTTTAAGAGTCTGATAGCATGGGGGAAAAGCTGCTCTGCAGTCTGGTGGTGCAGCAGCAGAAACTTCTACATCTCTTCCCAGAAGGCAGCAGGGTGAACAGGCTGTGGCTGGGTTGGGTACTGTCCTTTAGTATCCTTTGGGCTCTTCACAGGCACCACACCTCACCGATATCACTGATGCTCGGGAGATGGGTACCAATGATCTTCTGAGCAGTTTTAATCACCCGCTGCAGAGCCCTCTGGTCCTGGGCCGTGCACATCCCATGCCAGTTTGTTATGTTTCCATTCAGGATGCTTTCTAAAGCTGACAAGAACTTGGCGTGGGAATTTGGCCTTCTTAAGCTTCCTCAAGAATCTCCTGTTTCCTGAAATCAATGATCAGGTCCTTAGTTTTGCTGACATTGAGTAGTAGGTTCTTCTCTGAGCACCACTCTCCAAGATTATGAATTTCCTCCCGATATGAAGTCTCATCATTTTTTGAAATCCAGCCGATGATGGTGGTGACATCCGCAAACTTCACAACAGAGTTATCTCCATGTCAAGGATGCAGTCGTCGGTGTACAGCGTGAACAGGACATTTGACAGTTGTAGCATGTAAAGTAGAGATACAAATGTGGTTCTCATCTTAGTATTTCAAAAAAGGTTTTTACAACATACAGGCTAAAGCTAGCTAACGTAACAATGAAATTTCAGTGAGATACGGCAGCTAGTATCATCAATTAATAATAACGCTAACCCAGAAAACACAAAATTGGCTTTTTCAGGTAGTGAGAAATGGCATATGTGTGGTTGTGTCTCAGACTATCAACAGGCTGCATTGGTAAATAGTATGAAAGCCACCCTCACATTATATATTAGCGCTGTAATAACAGTATAAATGGCCCTGATGTTGCCATCAAAATGTACCCAATGTATAATAAATGCCTGCAATAGCCTATATACAGGCAAAGCTTCACTGCATATGAAACAGAACAGGATTTAACAAGTATTATTTATCAGCCTTACGGGGTCATGCTAGGAAATTATACCCACCTGTTTGTATGTTTTTTCTCATAAATTATTAGCATAACAATGTGATAAATGTCCCACCCCTCAGTCTCCTGGAAACTCGTCTGGTCCATAATTGCATTGTATATTTAGTCTTAATGAGGTTTCATATGCTCAAGTGCCTACACAGTTGCCCTAGATGCACACTGGAATTAAGTAAATGTTTGTCGTAAATCCTCATCAGCCTTAAAGAGAATCATGGTTATAAAATCATCAAAGATGCTTCTCAGCACAGCCTGCAAGCATTTCATGTGACTAACGACTGTCCTCGCCTCAGGAGGAACAGCGTCCCTGCAGAGGGGCTTCCTGGGCTGCATCAGGACTCTGACCATCAACGGCGTGAGCTTTGATCTGGAGGAGAGGGCCAAAATGACGCCAGGGGTGAGCTCTGGTTGTCCCGGCTACTGCAGCGGCTCCAGTAGCCTCTGCCACAACAGGGGGAGGTGTATCGAGAAGAGCAACGGCTACGTGTGCGACTGCTCCCAGTCCGCATATGGGGGAACAACCTGTAACCAAGGTGAGCGCTGATCCACAACAAAAGCTTCACACTTAATGGAATTCTTTTAATAGATTAATGTTGATTGCAACAAACAAATAATCGATCATTGTCAAGGTTATTCCATTACTGCGCATCAATAAAAATGCGAGTAATGCAAGAGGCAATTAATACTTGTCCTGACTCTAGACTCCAAGAACATTTAAAATGCATTAGACCAAATTATCTCCCGCAATATGTGAGCACAGAACAGAGCACAGACGGCAACTCAACTGAAACCCACCAACGCCCAGTGCAGATAGAAGAGCAGGAGTCTGTGCAAACAGCCGTGTAGACATGGCATTGAGAGACAGTTTGAAGGCGTATTCTGAATGACAAGAGATGAATATTTTGGCTGCAAATGTGGATAACCACAATGCACTATTTACACGGTTTCCTCCTGTTCAGTGTGTTAAATATGAAAGTGGCACTCTTGCCAGGAGACAGCTAATCCAACTGCCGTTCGAAGGTATTTCTGGTGTATTGCAACTTAGATCTTACCACAGTTATTTGTGTTATTGTGGTTAGCCTATCAGATATTTCACCTGCAGGTTAGAGACACTCGCTTTGATCCATGTCTCTCTGTGAGTCGAACTTTATGAAATTTCAGGAGTAAAGTGCAGTTAAAAAGAGAAATGCTTCCAATGGCATGATGAGATGATGGCAGATTTTCCAAGCTCTGTGATGATGAGGTTTTGACTTCATATGATGAAACAGTGAACATTGCCTCTTTGCAAAGGAAACTGTCACTTTTTTTCCTGGTATTTATACAACGTATAAATATATTTGTGCTTTTGTGAAAAACAGTGCACCCAGTAATGGCATGCAGCAACAAGCAGAGACTGTAGTACTGTCATTGTAAATGTGTTACTGCAGCAATGTGAAACAAGAGAGTGATTTTATGGTGTAAGTTGGCGTACTGCGGTTATCATCCCTTCCACCTTCCCTTAGTCCCTTTTAACTCCAGGAGCTCTGTATTTGATTTGGAATTTTGCCTTTTCACACAACAAAACACAGACGAGTAAGTAAATAACTTTATTTATATAGCACCTTTCAAAAGCAGAGACGTAACAAGGTGCTTCACAAAAGCAAAGGAGCACCCAACGTACATACAGACATAAAACACCATAAAATACAAATAAAGTAAAAGAGTGTTTTAACTGTCAGCATATGTTTTCTTTCTTTCTAATAAAGTTTAATAATGTGCTTTTTTTAGGAATTAGAAACAGCTTTATTGCCATATAGATTCAGGAATTTGCTTTGTTATTTAGGTGCCTAACAATACACATAGAAAATATTAGAAACATATAGCAAGTGTTTTGTGTGTTCACTTCATATTTGTAATAGTGCGTGTGCATAATTAGCTAGCTGCTCCCTTCCACCAAGTATGTGGGCTACAGAAAGAAAGCAAGCAGGTTGGCCTTTTGTTTCTCGAGTTAATCCTAAACACCACGTTTATTCAGGCTTGGTGCCATTTTTGGTGGGACATCCATGCCTAGCAGGAGGGACGGTCTTAAAAGCTCAGGGAACAAAAGTTTCCAGTGTGCAGAGTACACAAATATTGTAACATGTTTTGCTGCAAACTTGCTGTGCAAGTTGAACACTAATGCGTATCTCTTTTTAAGTAGTTATACAGTAAATACACCTGTGCAGAGAGTTCCCATGTACTTGCATGCACACACTGCTACACCTCTAATGAAAGACAGTGCATTTGGACAAATTTTCATTCAAAACATGGTCTTCCCTCTTGTTACACCCATTGGGTAAACTAAATTCTTTTATATTTGATAAGGTTGTGTTGTTTTTTCACTTTTATATTATGCAGCATAATGAACATTACAGTATCTGGAGGCCATGAGCTGGGCTTTAATCTTTTAATCTTGTTTTAGAAAACGTTGTAATAGAGCTCCTTGCACTGAAACCATTTTTTCCCTGTCCCTGTGTGTGCAGAAGTGTCAGTGTCCTTCGACATGGAGTCCTCAGTGACCTACACCTTCCAGGAGCCCTTCTCAGTGATGCAGAACAGAAGCTCGCAGGCCTCCAGTGTTTCCACAGAAAGCAGCAGCAGAGCCAGAGAGGACGTGGCCTTCAGCTTCGTCACCTCCCAGAGGCCCACCATGCTTCTGACTGTCAGCACCTTTAACCAGCAGTATATCGCTGTCATCCTGGCCAAGAACGGTACATAGAGGTTTTACGCGGGCAGCTGTGGTTTAGGAGATAGAGTGGGTTGTTGTTAATCGAAACATCGGTGGTTCAATCCCCTGCTCCGCCAGGGTGCATGTCAAAGTGTCCTTGGGTATGATATTGAACCCCGAATTGCTCGCTGTTCTACATTTACTTACATTACATTACATTACGACTTACATTTGAGAAACAACATACAAGTATCAACAAAGCATCAAATACAGATCTACAACTGACAATACATACTAGTAAGAGCAGCAATAAATACTAGTAAGAGCTCATGGTACATATCACATCAATGGGGTAAATACCTAGGGAAGGAAGTAAGAGGGCAAAAAAGTGCAATCAATACAAAAAAGTGCAATCAATACAAGATAATTGTAAGGGGATAGAAGAAGAAGAGCACAGGAAGTGCATGTTAGAGGTTAGGAGTTAGAGGTGTTATAAGACGAAGTGTTCTCGGAAGAGATGAGTTTTCAAGAGCTTCTTGAAGTTAGAGAGGGACGCCCCTGCTCTGATGATATGTGGTAGCTCGTTCCACCATCGTGGTGTCACGTGAATGAGAACAGCCGGGACTAGGATTGCTTTGTGTGAAGTGATGGCAGAGCCAGGCGGCGTTCTTTGGAGAAGCGTAGTGGCCGAGGAGGAACGTAAGTTTGTATTATGGAGTTTAGGTAGTTTAGTTCTACCAGTGTGTGAATGTACGTTTCTGTTTGAGCACTGTATGTATGCATGTGAATGGTGAATGCAATGTAGTGTAACAGCGCTTTACAAATACGGAGCAGTTACATTAATACATACATATCAAAGAAACACAGTAATAAATTATGGCATTGAGAAATGATTAAAAACGTCTTTGAATGTGATATTTAGCCTTTATCACAGAAATGGAGAATTATTATTATTATTATTATTATTATTATTATTATAATAATCACATCTGCATTTTTTTACTGTGCTGATCTTTGAGGAAACAGGAAGTAGCGGAATCTCAAATGGAGGAAGCCATTCTATCTTATTTGCTGTGTGACACCATCCAGTTTAATGTAACCTCCTCTGTCTGACTCTCTAGATGCACTGATTAATTTTGCTGTGCCATTTTCTGATGAGACCTGGCCTTAAAGATGCTGTCACACCCGTAGTATGGTTTACTAAAATATTGTTGCCCTTCTATTTCTAACTGTCCCTACTGACTTATTACAAGCATTAGGACCAGAACAGGACTTGGGGTTGTGGAGTTGGACACAAGCTCAACACAACGTGGATGCTGACCCCGAAGTGTGAAAAACACAAAGTTGTTCCCCCCAGTAAATAATTTCTGAATAAATGTCATTGAAAATATATACTTCAAAGATATTCTACCCATCAAGAATAAGATTTTTTTTAAAAGGAACAAGACTGTATTTACCGCCTCAATAAATTAACTTATTCCCAGCCAGATCCATGTTTAGAGACAGCTTCACATGTGCAATATGCAATGTAATGTTACATTGATCCATGTTTGTTGTCCCCCCCTCGCTAACCCCCTCAAGCTGTAATCAATTCTGCGCCCTTGCAACACACTTCTGTTTTCTGTTAAACCCCTGTTCGTTGTCTTATACTCAGGAAAAATCCCCGCACTCACAGGCTGACACAAATGTGTTCCCATGGTTACCAAATGACCTTGCATAAATACACCAGAGTTCACCTGAAGCTCACACAGATCATCCTTTTTAGGCAGAAAAAAATGTTATCCACTTAAATAGCAAAGATTGAGTCATAATCCCATTGCACTCCAGTTACCAGAGTAGTTTCTTTTTACTGCCAAAAAGAACCACTTGAAAGGACATGTGCAGAAATGCCTGTTTGAAAAACGGGATGAGTCAGGGGGTTTGGGGCTACTTACACCTAATAGCCTGAAAACCTCAAAATCACATTTTTGGGAAAGTTTATTGGCATGTTGAAAGGGGTTGAACAGAAAATTAGGCTGACAATGAACAGGCAGTTAATATGTATCTTACTGGTGCCACAGCTGCCATCAAGTATTTCAATCAGAGCCGCCTCTGCAACTTTGTGCAAACATATTATAGGCTAATGAATAGATTTAACCCCCGTGGTTCCGCTCCTCCTCTGCATCTTTAAAAATACCAATAAACTTAAACCAATCCATATGTAAAATAAAAGCACTCATTTATTCAAAAGAAACATTTTTCAAAAGACCTTTGACAGTCCTCGCTCAGCAAAACAATAAAAGAAAATCACATCCATGTTCCTCAGGTCTCTGTAAACACTGAAGGGCAGAGGAGACACTTGGCCACAGTGACCTTCATCTATAGGAGCACACTTAGGATTTGAAATGAAACACAACACAAAGCCCTTCACCAACAGACCGGGAATTGTAATATTGACCCAGCTCCACCTGACAATGCATATCTTTCTGACTCTTTGATCTGGCAGCAATTGTGTGTGTGGGAGGAACACTGAGCACATATTGACTTATTCAGTGTGGGAGCGAAGAGCTATGCGATAAATATCTCAAAAGGCAATTGAAGAAGTTTAGATATAGCAGTCTATTTATAAATAAGCAGCTACATCATCTCAGTAAATGTGTGTGTTCTCTTCTCCTATTTGGCATTATAAAGCAGTGTACACATACTTGAAGCCAAAGTAGGATGTATTAAAATATGTCTTTCATGTAAATGGACTGGACTTGAGTCTGTGGCTTTTATATTTGCATTGAGCACAATATTGAATCAGTCATCAGAAAAGTGAGATTGCTACATGTCTTGTCATGCTTTGTGTCCAGGGAGTCTGCAGATCTGGTATCACCTTCAGACAGATAGGAGTCCAGACGTGTTCAGTCCTGCCCTCGGTAACCTGGCAGACGGACGACTCCATCGAATTCGAATCCATCGAGTGGGAAAAAACCTTTATGTACAGGTGAGCAGTACATGAGTGTGAACAGAGGTCAAGGAAATTATTTTCTGAAATTCTGTTGCGATACCTCACAATATTATGACCTCAGTGCGAGTGGGCGTGGGATTGAGACGAACTGAAGCTGCGATTTTAACTATGGCCTTTGGATGCAGCCGGAGATTAATGACCATATCCACAGTCACAGCTTCAACCAGCACAGCCAAGCAGAGCGGCTGCAGATGGGTTCCCAGCCACTGGCCAATAAATGCAGCATGTGAAGTGTCATGCGATTGTTTCCCTAACCTGGCACTGTTTCTGGATGGCAATGTGCTTTCCCCAAATTGTAATTTTTCCAATGCAAAATAGTTTGAGTCAGCCAAACAACAAAAAAAAATAGATAAACAGCAAGCAAACAAAATCTAACTAAGATGCAGAGCTAATCATCTACACATCTTTTGACCCAAAAATCACCAACATCAACGCCTCCTGGGTAGGCAAACATCTCAAAACCACTCGAATGGAAGTTAATTCTTGACCTTTGAATTCATAGTTTGACAAAATATATATTATAATATTTCTCACGGTCCACTTACTAGCTTTTTGCAGAGCTTTCACTCTCATATAACAGTCTTCATGAGCAGATGGAATTTGCTCTGCACAAAAAAAAAGTTTCTCCAAAGTTCCACACTTTCTACATGTGATAACAACTGAGCAAACTGATAAGATAAGACGAACTGTTAGATGTGGAAGTGGAGTAAATATTATTTTGAATCTGCAAGCGCAACCACCATGTATGTCTGGATATATTTCCAAAACTATTAGAAAATGGTTAAGCCTAGCTGAGTAGCTGAGTAGCTGAGTAGCTGAAGCCTCGTCATCTCAGCTCACAACTGACCTACCAACCTATGTTAATGACAGTGAAAAACAATTTGTGTTTCCACCCTGTGATTCGGATCTGCTCCAAAATGCAATGGGTTCTTCCTTGGCCCATGCTATAAATTGCCACTAGGTTTCATGAAAATCAGGCCAGTAGTTTTTCCATAATCATGCTGAAAGTCAGATAGATACACAAACAAACGCCACTGAAAACATAACCTCCTTGGCAGAGGTTACTAATCTACTTCTGTACAATAACACAACTCATCATATCAGCAAAGAACTAGAATTATATTTTCTATCCAAACACTTAAAAACAGATAGATGGTGTTAAAAATCAATTTTCCACTGCAATGAAATCTATTTTTAGCTGGGTCATCAGCTGGTCTGTAGATGGACCACTGTAGGCATTTTATAAACGGCAATGGACGTCATCAAAATCCTGCAGTGTTTTATTGCAGGTCATCAAGTTAAGTGATGCAACTGAGTCAGCATCATAGTGCAGAAGTGAAAGGTCTAAACCACTTTAAAGCTATCTGTGGGCGGATATGGTTTTGTGTGAAGCTGTAGAGAACACAATTCTCAATCTATAATGTATTGAAATGTGCTGCCTGCTGCTGCTGCTGGTGTTACCTCGGTTTAGATTTCTTGTAATCAGCTTGTTATTTGATTTCTCTCCACTCAACCAGATCGACCAGGACATCCACACAAAGTACACACTGTCATCTGATGCAGAGCTGATCTTAATCAGATCCTTGACATTGGGCAAAGTCACCAGTAAGTCCTCCCATGGTGTTTAGAAAATTGCATCTGCGCCCTCTATTGTTTGCCTGCACTCTTTTGTTCTAACCAGTCACCATTTCCTGTCACCATTTTTTTGTCAGTCTTGACTTGGTTGTTCAGAAATTAATGTAATTCAAAAAAAAATCAAACATGTGCCCATCAGTAACAACATATCTTTTCTCTAATCGACTGTATCTCTGTAGGGATGGAGAACTTCAATGAGGAAGTAATGCAAGCAGCATCTAAAGGTTTCATTGGCTGCCTCTCCTCGGTCCAGTTCAATCATGTGGCACCGCTAAAGGCAGCGCTGACAAATCGAGGAAGTTCACTGGTCACTATTCGTGGTCCATTGGTCCAATCAAATTGTGGAGCACTGGCAGAGTCCACCTCGCACATACTGCAAGGTAACAAACTGTCACACACTGCTGTGTATTTATGTGCATCTCGACCATGCACAGCACCACTAAATAGTTGTTTCCCGGTTTAGCTACATGTAAAGCAACAAACAGTGAGAACCGCATTAGCTGGTAACTGTTACACAAACATTTGAATGTTTGTGTTTGAAACTGTCAATCAGTGATTGGTTGTCTGCATCGTTCCAGCTATGCATTAGGCAAAAATATCACTATATTAAACATCTCTAAAATGAATGAGTTAGAATTAGACTTAACGATAAAACAAAAATTGATTGACAAAAAAAATACATCGTTGCAGATCCAATTAATTTTTCTGCCTTTTCCTCTGCACCAAGTGTGGGGATGGCTGCATTGAAACTGAACTCACGGCATTGCATATTGTCATGTCCTTTAACGTCTGATTGACATCTGATTGACATTACACTTGTTAAAGCACTTTGTAACTTGTTTTTGAAAAGTGCTCTACAAATAAAGATTATTATTATTATTATTATTATCTGTACCGCTGTACCACCTTTTGAGCAGGTTAGCTTTATGCAGCATGAGTACTACATTGATCTGTCCCAGTTAGAAGTGAATTAAGCCAGAATTAAAAGTGAGTTAAGCCTCAAAAACAGCTGCTAGCCCACTCATTTTCTTTTGTGGTTCAGGCCCCAGGCTGTTTTCCAGCCTCTTAAACCTTACCATTACATTTAAAATCTGTTGGGGTTTTTTCCAATTATTTGTGTTTTGTGTGAACGGATGCAGTATAATGAAGCTCACAGTTGTGGTTCGAGCTTTTTAATAAGCTGCAGCAGCTAATGTTTTGACATGAAGCATTTTGAAGCAGTGCCAGTGACTCTCATAGGATGGACAAGTTGTGGGAGCTTCTTACATCTTGCCAATGTCATATTGCCGCAACATATGTAAATATACATCATAAAAACTGTGATAGAAAAGGTCCCAGAAAAATTATGTAAAACGATAAAAGATGACACTTGACATTTAAAAGTCATTTAAACAACCAGAGAGTTGTAGTATAGAGAAATACGTTGGACAGACGTTGTCGCTTATACGGAGAGTCAGAGATAAGTGAAACTGAAACTAATTTGGTTATCGTGTGATATAATTCTGTGAAATTCTAGAGCCAGGCAGTGAGGTGTAACAAACTACCCTTCACATGTAAAGATGACAACCTGCATTTCAAGATATCCTACTGGCAGACATACATCTCCTGTATGATCATGATGATGAGACATTAATGAATGTGTCTGTTTCTCGTCTCTGCTTCTCTAGATCAAACTGTAACAGCAAATAAAGATAAGGAGCAGCATGGTAATGGCACCCAGAAGGATTTGGCTGTAATAGCAGGTCTGTTTTTTCTCTCTTCTGTGCTGGTTTATTTGTCTTTGGTTAATTGAAAATGAGACCCAGCTATTTGTTATTTGTCTTTCTCTCCATTTGCATCCGCCCCCAATTTCTTTTTTTTTTCTGGTCTCTAGATAAGTCAGTTTTAGCTCAAGCTCATTTTCATTACTGCCACTTGCTGTTTTGTTTAAAATTGAATTTACGTTGAAGATGATTATGTTAAAGGATGTCTCTGTGACGTCGGAACATTTATGCATTTGACTTCTCCTCACACTTGAACTGTATTGTTGTTGATTGACATAGAGATGCCCCGAGCTGATCTGCAAGATCAGTATGAGACCAATAAAATTATTTAAAGGAATATTTCGACATATTGGGTAAAACACTGTAGCTCTAAAACCAAATGTTATAGTATAGTTAGTTGAAGGGATAATTGCTTTATGGGAGAGTTTGGGGTTAAAAATAGAACCAACTAATGAACTGAAGTCTGCGCAAAACTTAGTTTGTATTGTATCAACACATGCTGCAACTTTTGTCAAAACACAATAAATAACTTGAATTTCACATTTGCTGCTTTAAGACATTGTCACATATGAATGTTGTGATATTATGAGTAGATACAGTTTTTGCAACATCATGTTTTAGATAAAAGCAATGGTTTGTTTTTTTTGGAAATCGTGCTTATTCGCTTTCTTACTGGGAGTTAGATGAGATGATCGTTAGCTTAGCTTAGCTTAGCATGAAGACGTGAGGCAGTGGGAAACAGCTAGCCTGGCTCTGTCCAAATGTAACATAACACACCTTCCAGCACCTCTAAAGCACCCTAATTAACATGTCTTATTAACAGTGTATCTTGTTTGTTTAATTTAACCAAAGTGTAAAAACCTACTTTTTCCATTTTATGGAGGTTTTGTGCAAAACTATATCTTGGCTGGGACCAGTTGCCCGGCAACCAGCGGAAACTACAAGAAGTCACCGCTCCCCCATATTTACAATATTGAGCGTGGTCTTCTAATCCTCTAATCTAACAACAAAAGGAATAAGCATATTTCATAATGTCAGGCTTTTCCTTTGGGATCAAGGATTAGATGAAGGCATTTTTTAAATTTATCAAAATCACCTCTAAAAAGGCGTTTCATTCCTGGACTTATTGATTATATGCTTGCATGTGCTTCAGATTAAACCAGCAAAATAATGTGGATCTTAATCAACTTTATTGTGTTGTGCTCAACATTTGTGATGTGCATTACAAGATGTATGTATGTATACAGTTAGAACATTGTGTATTTTGTAACAGTGATGCATTATCAAATGATCCAGTCCTACAATAACAAATTCTGATTCTGAAGCAGAGCAAAGTACTCAATGATCATTTCTTGTTTAGATTATACAAATATGTGATTAGATATTTATTTAATGCTGTACTTTCCTACATGTTACCCTTGTTAATATCATGATTTTAACTCTACTTCTGAAACAATGTTGGTGTTTTTTATACCAAACATTAGATATATGTATCACTTCTATGTTTGCTGTAAATCATCCTAAATAGAATACTTAAACACTTGAATGCTGGCAAACAAAAAACAATCAATGAGACTGCAATTACATTGTTAGCGTAAACAAACCACTATTTACATTTACATTTAAATTACAGTGGTGAAATAACTGCCAATTGTGCTTCTCATTATTATTAAAATACAAGACACTGATTTAATGATTTCTATGTCCTTAAACACGGCACTAATATTAGGTGGCTGTATTCTGAAAATTGAGCGTGTGGTGTAGGCACAGCATTGTGCACAATTAAAGTCTGACAACTGATTCAAAGCAAATGGACATTACTTTAACCAATTTAGATCAGGATCAGAAGAAACCTCATGGGGACTGCCCTGGTTGAAAGCATTGTCAGTGGGCTTTTTATTGTGTACAGTCTCTGACCTCCATCCTTAGACCCTCAATTTGGATTCCCCTTGGTACTTACTAACCTGCCTTCCTTGCTGTGTTCTCAGGTGTGGTCACAGCGGTGGTCTTTATCGCTGTGTGTGCTCTGGCTGTGATAAGCCGCCTCCTCTACCAGCAGCGGCGGGCCCAGAGGAGCAGCAGCATCAAAGAGGAGAATAGACACAGCATGTACACAGACTACAGGACAGAGCTGCACCTCCACAACTCAGCCAGAGACAACATGAAGGAATACTACATCTGACCACAGTGTGCACTCCATGGACCTAAGCCACAAACGTACCTCTCTCTTATAAAGGACTAACAGGTGGACGTGCTGCTGCTGCTGCAAAAAACATCTCTGTGCCCTGGAAGTCTCTCAGGAACACTGCAAACGCCTGTAGCCTGTAGTCCACTCTTATAATGCTCCAGTACAAGCAAGTGGCTGAATCTTTACGGCTGTTAGTGTATTTGATGTTGGTGAAACTGTCAGAATCAAGCTGCTGTGATTTCTGTCATTGCAAAATGTGTAAAGCAAAAGATGAATGTTCTGCAGGGGCGGAGAGAGGGACAACACGAGAGCAGTGAGTGAAAGCTGCTGTCCATCCTGAATGCGCACAACTTTAAACGTTTTGTTAGAATATTTCCACATTTCAGTGGGGCTCACTAAATTGTACTTGGAAATGTAGGCCAGGCCTGTAAGATCTGCGTGCATTCGCTGCTGTCTTTGTTTTTTTTTTCCCAGTGGTGGTGAATGTTGTAGAAGAAGAAAGAGGGACAATACTGCCTATACTGTATGAGTGCCTAATTTGCATACAAGTTTTTATTTTAGCATTTTAGAAGTTATTTAATGTGTGTTGCACAAAAAGCAGTCCCATTTACACATAGAAGAGCTTATTGTCATTCAGTTCTGCACCCGGCACTACAAAGAATAAAAAGGAATTTGAATTTCCCAGTCATGCACAATGTCTGCCAGTTGACCATTAGTAATGGGTGACTCTCCTGCACTGAGTTGTTTTCCACTACACCGTTTGATGTAGCATGGAAATTAACAAACCTAAAAAGTCCAATCTTTTGTTAACTGGATACGCTCCAGGTCTGTAAGGTTCAACACTTGTCTTTCAGGTGTTTCAGGTTTTGAAATCTTGTCCCTAGCAAAAGCATTGTACACCAGTCAGGCCACATATATTTAGTTCTAGGCAATATTTTGATGATGACTTATGAAATTGTGGATTTTTTGTATTTATTTAATTGTGCAAATTTTACTTGTGTATTATTTTTCCAAGCATATAAAATCGAAAAACACCTGTGTATATTATATCATCAGAGTAGCAGAAATAATACATGAATGGAGAGAATTACAGTATTTTATAAATAAATAGTCATTTACACAAACACATACAACAACCGGGGTAACTATCAACCAAACGGCAGCAGTCGAGAATCTCAACAAAAACACATACTGATAGTGGTATATTAAAAAATCTGGCAAACAACAAAGCACCCACAAGGTATTTTGGTGTTCTTTGGCAGATGGGCAGCAGTTTGATATGTACAGAGTTCAGCAAGTACTTACCGAAGCTGATATAACCACCGAGCGAGTTGAGTCAAGTTTGCAGCAGTATGAAACAGTCACAGCAGCAGGTTTATTGGGCGCTTGTACAGCTACAGTAAGTTCCGGGGTAAAATGTGTTAGTCAAAACCTACTCTACTACACTTTGTCACAGTACTTTAGTGAGTTTGTACCACTGTTAAAGGTTGTAATGCTTATATCTCAGTTGCTAGCTTGGCAAGAGAAGGTGGGCCAGACTAAGATTGGGAGGCTGTGATATTTCTTGGAAGTATTACTTACCGGCGTAGACTCCGGTACGTACCAAACTCAAAAAGTACTGGTACAAAAGTTTAGTTTGTCCCTTATTTTGCAACGCTAGCCAGCAGTGCTTAGAGCTTTTTGCAACCAAGAAAAAAAAAACACTGTTACCTTGTTTATTTATTTATTGTTTGGATTACAGGGATACGTGGTGTTTTCTATATATTTCAATCAGAATACTTTTTATATGTCTTTTACTGGTTGATCCTAAGAAAAAATCCCTATTCACACAAGCAAGACAAAAAGTCTAGAGCCGACGTAGTGGTCCTGCAAGCCTGTTATACACAATAAAATTACAGTAAGAATAAAGCATGGATGAAAAATGGAGATGACTTTGCTTTTTTTTAAGATCCTTTCCACTAGTGGGGCAACACATACTAGGTTTGACCTGAAGGTTGTGCCAGAGGAAACTCAATGTTGCATCATCAGATTTAGCTCATCATCTTCAGCATATCTGGCTCATGCTAAACATAAGGGTTAAGCCCAAAGAAAATCTGAAGCTGACAGGAAGGCATTAATTGTTTTATCTTGACATGAACTAAAGTGTTGGTCATTATAATTCATCCTCTTGGGATCATGAATGTCTCTACAGCAATTCAAGTAAAGCAATCCAACAACTCAAGATGTTTGATTCCAATGTTTGGACTAATGCAATGATGGATGGACAGATGGATGGAAAGACTGACAAACAATATCACCCTTCCTGGAGCCCTACCGTTACCATGGCAAACGATTACATGACTGAATGTGACACAGGAGAGTGGCATGGTCAGAAGATAGGGTCTTGATCATTTGGACCCCGTCTGTGCATGTCCTTGTTATCTAAGTATGTCTCAAGATGTGATCGTCTGCAGATCTCCAGTGTCAGTGAATGAATACATACCTCTCAGAGTGTTTCGGTTTTATTGCAATGGGTAATATCGCGTGGTTACTTCTTCTTAATGATTTGTATAGCTGCAGTTTTATTAAGGATCTATTGTATAGATGTATAATTTAATAATAAAAGTGAATATATTGTTAATCCTCTGTTGTAAAATGGCTTGACTTCAATAACTTTAAACGGGATCTTGTGACCTGTGACTTCTTTCCTGTGGCAGCCCAGCAGTGATTTCAGTCAAAAGTCCAATGCTGATCATGGTGTTTGCAGGTGGGAAGTGAGTGAGGTATAAACATCCTTGTTGCAGCGCTACTTGGACAGACCCGCAGACGGTGTGATCTGGAAAGGAACTGCGTGAACCTCCCATGTTGTGCCCAACCCATGAAGGTCCTTGCTTGCAGGTGAAAATATGTATTGCTTCTTTTATTTTTTTTAAATTATAGCAACTAAGTGGTTAAAAAAAATCTGACATGTGGCTACCAAGTTTCTAATTTGGCAGCAATAACACCTTTTGAAGACTAGACTTTTCACAATATTATATGGTGTCATTGCACCAAATGGTTGGTGTTTAAAAAATTCAGATTTGCATACAGATGGACACTTATTTTGGTCTAAATAATTTTTCTTTGCTTTCGATAAACATGGATTTTGAAAATATTTGAGTCAGACTCCTAAATGCTGAGTTATAGCCATTTAACTGTATCATGTTGCTGTAAATTACTTAAAATTTTGTTGGTTTGCTTGGAATATAATTTGGCTGCATAGTCATGAATTACAAATACACCATGCCCATGCAAATTTGGCAATTATATGGAAAACAGGAAAATGCAGTGGAATATTATAAAACAAATTAAGTATTTCAGTTAATTCACAAATGTCTTGTGCTTATTTTGATGAATTCTGCATTATTTTTGTAAGAAGAATGGTGAAAAATGACATTATTGCTAATAGGCAAAGGTAGTTTTAAGCATATCCATTCATGTTGACAAAGAGTGGATAGTTGCTGCACACAAAGATCAATAAAATAAGAATGATAAAGTAAAGTAGTTTATTAATAATATGTTATAAGCTTACATTTAATTACAGTCAAAAAAAAGCACAAGCTCAAGCTGCCATATCAAGAGGCTGGTGCAGTAGAGCAGCTGGACATGACATCTCAGATAACTACTGCAGAAGCTTTGATTTTTCTTTCCTTTTTGGAGCTCTTCCATTTCAATTTACTTCCTTTCTACTTATTAACTTACTCATTTAAAATCTTCCAGCCCACATAAAATAACTCTCCAATATTAAGGAGCACTTTATAAAAGCGACTGACTTTGGTATGTGGTGCTCCTGAGAAAATGTGACTCCTTTTTATATTCTCCATGCCTCTTTGTGCCGTTGTTAGTAGTAAAAGTAAAAAGAAAATTTCACATTGTATTTAATGGATTCTTTTCTTTTTCCACTGTTGACCTACCTTTCCACTGTTTTTATGTCAAGCACGTATTGTGTCCTGCTGCACATATTAATTTGACATGAGAACTACTACAACTCATAACAGATTACCATTATGTTTGATACACCGTGTTCCAATATTGATGCATACAAAGGTATCAATCACTTTAGTATTTTTCTCTTGTGCGCTTGGTTGTTTCCTTCAAGGTTTTCACACCGCTTTACAAAAAGCAGCTTCCCCCGTGCACATTAAATCCAACATGGATGAGAATTCTTACAGTAAAAGACCCAATGGCAGCGAACAAATTGTGCAAGGACGCCTCCACCACTTCTCACTAGTTGCTGTGGGCGAGTCACCTACCGATTTACATTTACAACAATTTGCACGACGTCGTTCCAAATAGCACTTCCATTTTGCTTGTATCAGTAATCCTGGAGGGCAGGGACAGAGAAAAGAGGGATCCCAGAAACTACAATAATGGCCTTCTCCTTCACAGACACAGCAGGTAGACTAAATTTACTGGCCCACCACTGTGGACCCACACCACATAACGGATAAAGCTTCAATTTTTCTAAATAAACTTGTGAAAAGAAAGAGGAGACTTGTCATATCAAGAACCTCATGTGTACTGCAGCCACATGACAATTAACCATAACCTCCTAATGGTAATCTTTCTAATTGGATGGTATAAATAGTTATTCTGTGTGGCCAAGAATTGAGGGATTGTGTATGGATTTAAGTCAGTCAGTATTTTTCTTTTGTGATATGTAATTCAAATCGATTGCTTCTTTTCAGCATGAGCTTACTGCAGAGCAACACTAAAATTTGCTATAAATTTACACCAAATAATTTTCTTGACCACTCTTGACATGAGTTATAGTTATTAGAGCACTTTATTTCTCAGCAGGGGTATTGTAAAACCAGGTACAAATCCCAACTTGCCGCATTCAGCTGTTGATAGCATTAACGTCCATGGCAATTATACTAAAACCAATCAGTGTCGTCTGTGTGCACAAGGGACTGAAAAGTAACTAATGATCTGTCTGAAAGCAGCTCTTATGACAGTATTTTTTTTTTTTTATATCTCCTGCTGACACAGGATGATAGGGGTGTTATATGCACAAACCACTGAGATTTCAGTTTACAAAAAAAAAACTCAAGGACTTGACTTTGGTCATAATAAATGATAGTAACAAGGGTAGTATGCAGGCAATAAAAATAATGAGGAAGGAGTCATTATACAATATCACATGAAAGTACAGCACTAAGTAAATAATTAATGGCTTTTTGTATAATCTAAACAAGAAATGACCAGTGAGTACTTTGCTTTGATGAGAATTACAGACGTCACAAAGTGTTTCACACTAGAAATAAGGCAACACGAAGAATAAAAGAACAACAAAAAAATGAATGAATTAATATAAGAGTAAATCTGAAAATTACACAACGGCAAGTCTAAATAGGTGCATGGGTCTTGAGCTGCTTTTTAAAGGTTTCCACAGAAGTCTGAAGGGAGAGAGTCACAAAGTTTACAAGCCACAACCTCAAAAGTCTCCTTTGGTTTTAGGCCTGGATTGAGGAACAACCAACTCTATTCAAACAGCACAACAGAAACAACCAGCACACAGATCTAGGTCTTGGTGCACAGACAGTGAGGCCAGTCAAGTGGACCTCTTACTTTTGCTTTTGGTACATTGCACTAAAGTGCCCGGTGTAGAGAACCACAGTTGCCAGTGTTGGTGTACAGTGTTATTCTCAGCTACCATGACCTTAAGCGACTCAATCCATGAATATAAATGAGTCTTGTCTACTTGTCTAATTGTGATGTTTCTAGTGCAGATGTATTTATTGCTGTATTTTATTTACATTGATCATGTTTTTTCATCAAGTTGTGCACACCATTAAACTAATTCTTTTCAAACTTGCATTTGCACTCGGTGGATTTGACTTTAATTTTTAATTTTTTTATTTAAATGTTTTAATTTTTCTAACCTCTGTTGAGGTGAGTTATGTTTTGTTTATTTTTCCAAGTATTCAGTGCCAGCACACTGGCATTGCTTACTATTGCTGCCACATCATTCACTGGCTTATACCATTAGTGTCTAAGTGTACACGAGGGACCAACAAATACTTTAATGACCTTCTTAAATCAAGCAGGTTGGAAAGCGTCCAACGGTCTAAACCAGTGGGAATTCAACTTCTGAAAAATTGTAGTAGTTTTATAGTTTAAACTTAAGACTGGAATCAAGTGAAGTCTACAAGTAACTGCTGCAACTTAAAAGGAATGATCATATTGAATAGGGATTCAATTGATGGCTTCTCCCAGTCTGTGTTCCCATTATTGTTTCAGGATTTTTGAGCTCCTGGAACAATTAAACAACAGCTTAAAGTAGGTGGGTTCATTGGATTTAGTGTGCTGCATTTTGAAAAAACTCTCAAACTCTCATTACATAAAACATTATGGAAAACAACTGCATGCCCATTCCTGCCACATTATTAATTATTCATAGCAGTTTGGCAGTGGCTGCAAAAGGCAAAACTTTGCACATCACAGAATTTTGCAATATTTATTGATTTGAGTCTCCTCAGCTTTTTTTTGTCCTCTAGACAAGCTGGGTACTCTAGTCTCAAGGCAGAAGACTCAACAAAAGTCAAGTCGCAAGTCCTCAGTTTCACAACTCAAATCTGACTCGAGACCAAGTCCCAATTCTCAGGTCTACAGCTCTGCAGCACAGTATAGAAATGGGGACTTTTTAACACTAGGTTACCTTTAATAAACAGTAATAGTTACATCAGACCAGCATTTATATTTAAGGACCTGCATACACATGAATGCATATAGGCAGATGCACAGGTGTATGTCCAGACATAAACTCAAGTGGTGACACTTGTTGTGTTTTGTCTAAAAGTTATAACAAAGTACAAACACTTCTGCAAGCCAAAATCAATCCTGTTAGCAGCATAGCTATTCTGAAGTTGCTATGGTGACACAAATGTGTGACACTATGCAATTATACATTTCAACTCTTATACTTTATATCTATAACAGCTTTGTGTCAACAGGCCGGTACATGTAAGTGTGAGAGATTTGCTGTGTGGATTTGTTCTGCTCCTGACTTCATGCTGGGCTTTTCACCTGCTGCACTACACAAGTGTTGATGGGATTTGGGGGCTACTGTCAGATAACAGCCTTTCTCCTAGTGTATAACCAGTTTCCCCCTTTTTGGTCCACAGTTCAGTGAAATCCTGTCGATACAGAACGAACTTGTTCCCTACAAATTACTTTTGTATGCAGCTATTCTGCATTAGCAATTATAGTCACTGTGGTAACATCCGTTGGGGTGTGAAAGTCGAGGTGAGGAGTTAGTCAACACTGCCACAGCAGGTTAACAGTCAGTCTTAAAGGTGTCATCATTGACAGTTTTATCATTTAACCCGGACCATCAACTTTCCCTAACCTTGATGAAGAGGTTTAGGTATCCATACTAACTACGTGCAGCAACCATGTCCCCTAGATACTGTTGCTACTCCTGTCAAGCTTTGCACTCTAGCACTGCATCTACGCAGTTTAGAATGATAACAATAGCAGCTTCACCACTCACAATTTGTAGTACCTTTTGAAACAATGTGTCCTTGATTTAAGACAAAAGTAGACAAAAACAGCTTCTAGCTTGTTGCCTCAAATGACAGCTGTTATCTGCAGATTTCATAACACTAACTCTGTGCATTAGTTAAAGCTGTAAATTGGTCAGGAACATACATTTAATGCAGCCACTGGACACTTTGGCTTCATGCGTGATAATATGATAATTTAGTAAAAGATAAAGCATAAAGTAAATGGTCAGCATCCTCACAAGTAGCTGATCCATGGATTACATGGAAATTAAAGAGCAGGTAGTCGATAGAAGGAAGGGAGAAAATGTAAGACCACATTTAATGTTATTTGTTTTTAACTTGGCTTTGTTTGGATGCTTAATGTTATACATGAAGGTAAGATTTATTTTAATTTTACAAGAGAAGGGGTTTGTTGGGGACTTCTGCAAATGTTTCTGATATAGAGTTCAGTACATTTCAGAGGGAAATGTTTTAACTTTTTACTCCGCAACATTTACTTAACAGTCACTTATTACCTACTTGCCCAGTTATAGTCGTTAACCTGTATTGGACAATCGCTGGGGTTTAGCGTGTAGCCAGTTCATGTTGCCTTACAGTGAAGCCTCATATCAAAATAGTCAGGCTAGTCACAGAACCTTTTGCTATTTTAATTTCAGCACTAGTCTTTGCAAACTGTGCAGACTATTGAGCTCAATAAGAGGGCTACATCTGTGTTTATCATGTTAAATTGGGCAGAAAATAGACATTACCAGAATTGTGATAAGTGAACATCTATCAGTTTAATGTAAAGAAATGATAGATGTGATGACTCCATGTTGGGAATGGCCTCACAGCTGGCACTCATTTAAAATTAACCCAGATGGATTCACATGTATCCCATTCACCAACTGTTGCCCTCCATGTATTTAAATTCATCCCTCCTTTGTCCCTGAGACGCTAATAATCACACACACACACACAACACAAACAGAGAAATGAGAGGAAGTGGTTAGAATCACCTCCACTGCTTATTCATTATATTCAGTACTTTCTGTTTTGACTTCAGGGCCACCTACACAAACTCCTGGGAGCACAGGTACTGTTTTTAGCATTAAAAAAAGTTGAAGACAAAGTTTGTTTCCTGACAAACTTCTGAGGTAATGAGCTGTGGTGTATGGGATGCTCTTTCAAGCGCACTTTTAACTTCCTGTGTGGGAGCTATTTGACTGAGTTTTCAACTAAAATATTAGAGGATTTAATGTAAAGATATGTATAATGAATGCAACAGTGCTGTATTTTCACAGCATGAACCTCTCCATGAGCCAACACGCATACAGTGCAGCTGCACTATATGTGCATGCAGAGGTTTGTGACTCACAGAGGCAAGCAGTATCTCAGAGATGGCTGCTGTTCAATTATTTCAGGTCCTCATTGTACATGTAATGACAGCCTGTAGATACTGAGCCAGGGGGGTTTGAGGATGAGGCAGACTTTCGAAAACTAATTAGATTCCATTAAAAACATCCAAAAGTAAGTAGAACTAATTCAGGTTTATTTAGGCTTCTAAAACGTCAGATACTAGGCACAGACAGGTAGTAAACCACAGGAACATATTTCAGCTTTTCAGGGAGAATAGAAAAAGAAACCTATACAGCTGAGAGCCAAGTGACAGGGTGGGACTTCACTAGTCTGCTTGCAGATGTCCACTGATGAAATGCTTCCTGTGGAGACTCCACACTTGGGGTAGAAATACACAGAACACAGCACGGCCACCATGAACCTCCTACACTTTGCTGTCCATCGAGCTGTCAAACCAAATGCAGTGCACTGCTACTTCCACTGTGTTTTTTCAGCTCCCAGTGAAAAACAGGCTTATGCAGGAGATGGATCTGAAGTTTTTAAAGGCGTAAAATACTGAGCCGCAAATTACATTTAGTTTAACTAAATTATATGAGAATCTTCTGCAACCATTAAATGCGTAGGTGCACAAGATGAGATCCCAACAAGAGTTAAAACAACAAAAGGCACATGAATTGTGACAAAAACAAGGAAGGTGGTTTTATTAAGAATATTCCACCTGTCAATTTGCATTCATTATCCAGCATGCCAAGAAGAAACAAAGTATCACCAGTAAAGTCCTTATGGGAAGCACAACACAGTAATAGTAGTAAGAGTAAAAGTAAAATAGCTCAATATGTTAGACCACCAGTAAATTAGCAGTTAGAATGTTGTCTTAGAAAACCATCCTCATGAACTGAAAGCCCAAAAAGAGTTTAAGAATCACCCAATATAATAAAATATCTCCACATAGACCACATTAGCATGGAGAGAATGTCTGCTTAAAAAAAAGCAAACTGACAAAATTCCAGTCTCTCTGCTCCCCATTTATCAACTTTATCATTCGGTGGGGATGGCTGTTTGCGACCTCGCTGCTCCGGTGGGTCTGGGGGTGGGAGGGGGGATCGATTCTTGGTTCTTTGTGGTGCGGGCGTGGGGGATTTTGATGCGATTGACGGGTGTCGGAGAATCGATTATGTGAATGTTGATTGATGGCATGGTGTTGGGGGGCGGCCACAGGCAGCATCCGGGCCATCTGTGGCCTGCGTGTGGGTGGTGATTTTGGCAGCTGTGCAGGTGTGGTGGCACTCGGCGCTTGGCTGGCTCCCTGTGGGTCCTGTGTATGGGGCCGGGCGAGTGGGGGTGGCGAGCGGTGGAGCATGGCGGTGGGAGTTGGTGGGGGGAGGTGCTTGCAGTGGGTTTCTGTCTGGTGGTGTACGTGCAGTGTGGGTCATGGTGTGTCCGTTGGTCTGCGGTTTCCCCGTCGAGGGGGTTGGTGGGCTTGGGGTTGTGGCTGCGCTGAGTTGCCTTGGGAATGTGTGGGGGCTTGTGGTTTCGGGGATCTCTGCGGTGGTTCTGTGCCCTGGTGGGGCTGGGGATGGGTGGGGTTGTCGCTGGTCTGGGTGCTGGCGGTGCATGAGGGGCTCTTGCTACAAGCCCTGGGCTGGAGGGACCTGGCGTCCTCCTGCCTAGGGGGGTGGGGGACAGGGATGAATGCTGGGGTCAGTCAGGAACCTGGCCCTGGAGGTGGGGAGCTCCCCGGCACGGCTCTCTGCTGTTCTCCCATGGGGCGGGGCGGGGCGGTCTCTGGGCGCCTCATGATTCGATTTGGTTGTGGTTCAGAGGGCTGCAGTGCCACTGTATGTCGATTGTAATGCATGTTGGTGCAGGGTCTCTGGATGGCTGCTGGGCATTTAATTTGCGCATTGAGGTCCGGGAGGGGCATCTCCTGGTTGGCTTGGAGAGACTAGTTTGTGTCCCTGTCGGGCATTGAGTGTCGCTGTGCTCGCACAGTGGGCCGGTTGAGGTTGTCGCTTCTGCATTGATGTTGATGATTGTGTGCCGTTTTGGTAGTTTGGTTGTTCGTTCCGCGGCGGTGGTGTGCTGGGTGCCGCAAGTTCTGGCATTTGCGTTCTGGTGGTATTGCGTTGTCATTTGGCATTTTGATGGTCGTTTGTTGGTCTTCCGCGTTAGAGTCACGGTGCGTATGGGAGTTGTTTGTTTCTCCCACCCTTAGTGGCAACTGGGGTTCTTGCCTGCCAGTCGCTGGGGTCGGTGCAGTGTGGTTGTGGCGTGCCATTCTTACTAACAACTACACTCTGTAACAGGGTTATACACACACAAATATACACACACTGACCTAAGCCCCTCTCTCTGTTCTCTTACAGGCTTCGTTGCTTTCTGCAAGTGGTGTTTTCCTCTGCTATTTCCTGTTTTCCCTACCCCCCATCCTCTTGCAGGTGTTGTCCTTTCTCTGTGGTGTCTGACTGTGCGGCTCATATCCCCATATCTGTCCCCCTGTCCGGCCCAGTGACAAATCAATATATATATTTAAAAATAATAAAACAGACAAAGGAGTATATTAATAGTCTCTTCTTAAAGTAAAATCTGTCTGGCACAACATGGTATCCAGCTCCTCATACTCTATACCAGGCTGCTGGTATAAAAAAAAAAAAAGAAACACATTGGTATCAGAGAGCTAGTATAATGACTAGCTTGGTTAGCATTTCTGGTATTTTCAGCACTGTATCTGAAGAGTGCAAGCTTCTGGTACAAGAACATGTGACTGTTGGCGTTATCTTGGGATTTGCACAGTCATTCAATGAGTTGCCTGGTATGGCAAGACTTTTTAACATTTATTAGCCAAGTTTGACCCATTGGAATTATCAACAATGTCATTTTGACTAGTTTTAATTTGCATTCAAGATGTCTCTAATGTTATTCTCACTAGAGAAAATGACTGTAGAAGATTTCTGTAATTCAGTTTTGACCAGTCAGTACTGATTTACAGATGCAGGCAGTGATGTCACAGCAAAACAATATTCAATTCACCACATATCCTGAAAGACAGTTGCAGATGGCTCAAACATCATCATGACTAGTCTAGCAATGGCGGTCACCGTTGTGGATGGTTAGAAAATGCTAAGAAATAGAAAAGAAAAGAGAGCTTTGTTCACTAAAGAGCTTGCGTAGAAATGTACAACTGTCAACCAAGACGAGAAGGAGGGTAGACGGCTCACCCGTGAGCTTCTTCCATCATCAGCTCAGGATAAAATGATGTGGCTCCCGACTACCACAACTTGCTGTACCTTTTTACATAACTACAGATATCTGCAACTTAATTTTGCCTAGTCACAACTCTAATTCAAGATATCTGTAATTACATTTTGACAAGGCAGAATGAAAGTTAAAGATATGTACAATTTGAGATATCAATAATTAATTTCATTTCAAGACATCTATAACTAGATAAGTTAATAGATATCTACAATTCATTTATGACTATTTATCATTTCATTTTAGATATCCATAACATCCTTCTGAGTAGTTATAATTCCAGTTTAAGATATCTATAATGTCATTTTGGCCATTTAAAACTTTATTTAAGATATCTCAAAAGGACAAGATATATTGAATTGGGGGGAATTCAAGATATCTTGAACTGGAATTATGACTAGTAAGAATTAAATAGTAGGTATCTGAATTACAGCTAGTCATAATTCAGTTGCAGATATCTACAACTGAAGTGTAGATCTATGAGAAACTCAAGTCAAAATATAGTTACGGTTTTCACTTTATTACAGCTTTGACTAGGCAAAATGACCTTGCAAATATTATTTAAAAAATATCCAGTCTAGCTAAGAGATGTTAAAACAGCTTGCCTCAGTCTAATGTATTTACTCAGTCAGGAGTAGAATTAGAGACAGGCTGCCATGGTCACGGCAGCCTTTTCCCTTGTTTTCCCCTTCACCGGTCTCCCCTACAGTGTGTTTTGTCTATCTCTTAGTGTCTGTGTGGGCATGGCTACTACTCTCTCACCTCCCAGATTCCTGGTTACCTACCAATGACACACACCTGCTTCTCATCAGCTCATCAGCCCTGCAGTATCTCAACCCTGGTTCTCTAGTCACTTCTCGCCAGATTGTTCAATCAGCTACTGTGGTAGTTAATTTTAGGCCAATCTTGTGTCCTTTCTAATCTCTAGTTAGTTCTTGTTGCATGCTTCTTCCGTTTAACTCTCTAACTCCATGTGTTACAGGATCACACTCGCCTCCCTGCCTGCCTGCTCTCAGCCAGCAATGCCAAGCCAGCCACCATTTTCATTCATTCACCTAGTCTGCTCCAGTCTCCATCCACCATCACTTACCACCCTCAGTCCTTTGCCTTCCCCAGCAAGGTCGCTACTCTCACCATTCACATTCCCCGTTTATTAATAAATAACCTTTTTCTCCTAAATCTACCAAACCTCAGGAAAAGTTTGGGTCTGCCTTGGAAATGTTTTGGTCATTATATGATCTAGCTTCGATCTCATCCAAGTGATGTCATTTTCGACCCCGGTCATAGTTCATTTGAACTTCCCACCTGCCTGTATCAACTGAAAGGTTAGAGATCTTCCCATAATTTGTTGTCCTAGCCAACTGCAAAAACGTTATTGCGTTTTCTTTTTCATATTGAAAGCAGTGAAGAAAATGATTCATTTTTTGAGGAAGTCAAATGTTTTTCTTTGTGGGTAAAATATTTTTCTCCTCTCAGGATACTGTATTTGAATATTCAATGGAGGTTCCACACTCAGAACATCTCCACTGTTCTTACAAGTAGCACCACCAGTACCAGTGTTCCTGGTGCTGCGAACAATAATAAATATATATTGGATTGACTATGTGGCCTCTGGGACTGTAGCACACTTGTTGTACATATGCATTAAGAATTTGTGTAAGACAGGAAATTTAGGCAAAACCAAAGAAAGAAGAAAGGAAATGAAATCCTCTTTATTGCTCTAATTGCATGAAAGCCTTTTATGTTCCCTCACACTCTCTGCTTTTTCAAAAATTGCAAATTAAAGCAATAATCTTCAATAATTATCATGTTGTTTAGTGTGTCAGAGTGGGCTGCACATCATGAAGCTGCAAGATTCTAACACGACATGATGCATTAATTGTTAATAAGTGCTAATGTTCATACATATTAAGCATTGAAAGGTGGCACCATAAGTGCTTGAGATGATATATCTGTTGATCAAATTTACAGTAAAATCATTGAATGGTGTTAATGCCTCTCTAATCTGCTTTCTCTCGCTCACAGATTTACATCAACCCCTTATCACCTCCATCACCATAATGATAGTAATTAGTACAGAGTGGACAGCCGCAATCATAATTAGCATATTCTCAAAGCCAAATACTAATGGATCTGGTATGCACTGTGTGTGTGTGTGTGTGTGCGCTTGCCCCACCCCTGTCACAAGCCTGCATGTCTCCTCTTGCTCCAAGGGAAAATTCCAATTAACCAACAACTTGCTCTCAAGTGGAAGTGAGAGATTGAGAAACTCAGACAAAAGCACAGGCACAGACCAGACTGGAATAACAATACAGGTCACTGACTATAGGAGCTACAACATATTTCTATAACAACTAACCCAGGATTTACTAGGATGAATTAAAAATAACTTTACCTGGACACACAATGGGTATGGTTACACGTGCATAATAATCACAATATAGCCAGTAAAGCTACACTAATTAATGTTTTAATCAACAACTGAAAAAAATGACTTTGTGTATTGTGCGTCACTTGTGCTCATTATTCACCTAACTCTGCACTTCTAAGTTCTAAGCTTCATGGACTGTATCAGCATCTTTTAGCTCATTGTTTTGGTTTTACTACAGTTTTTTTCATGGCGTATAGACAAAGTTATTGACTAGCTGGTGAAAGGAGCACACATGAATAGGTGTGTGTCATATGATGACCTCAGAAGTTGCAATACCCCATGCAGTTACTACTACATTTTTTTAACTTATACTATGTATTTAGCAATCAATTCTCGATCTCGTTTAGTTGATTAATGTGTCTGCTTTCAGGGTGTTTTCATTCTTTGGCTTCTTGTTTACTTTTATTTTTAACCATTGCTTCCTTAGAGTTCCACTTCGTGGTTGAGAATGATGCTCTCATGAGCAGGCGGACATGAATGCAGAATCAATATCCAAAACAAAGAAAACAGAGACAGGAAAATAGCAGCAATAAAAATGGCGACAAGCATGCGTGAGATGAAACATATGTCAGTCACTACTGATCATTGCGTTGTTGCAAATTAACACCACCACAAAAACAGTTAACAACTAACACGACTGGACCATTATGAACCAAATGATGATAAATCATGTCAGAGTATCAGAATAGGATTGTGCTGTCTTATTGGAGATATTTCTCACATTAATTTATTTTATTGACCTTTCATTTCCAACCTTACATGACAAATTGTCAAATTCCTCCTGATGGTAGCTTAATACTATCAGTGTGTGCGTAAATGGGTGAATGAGAAGCAAAACCCTTGTAAAGTGTTTTGGATAAAAGCACTTTATAAATGTATCCATTTACAATGTATTCAATCAACAATCAATTATCCAATGAGAAATACATACATAGTTATTCTATAAATGATGCTATGCCTGCAGTGTATAACTCATTTGGTCGATTGATGGGTGAAAGTACATAGTCATCATAGGCGGAAATCGTGGGGGGGTTGGTGGAGTCACTCATCTGCTGGTGCTGATGTCATTCATATCACAATGGCTCCATCGGTAATTAACAACAAGCCTCCAC